GATGCATAATCTGAAGACCAATGCAAAAAGTAATTTTTCCTAGCATTTTCATCTCAAATTCATGTATAAGTAGGTTAATAGGTGCAACACATGTAGATTTAGTATCTACTAGATTAAGATCATCAATATATATAACAATGATCACAAAACCAATTTTATCTCATTTGATAAACAAATAAGGAATTAATGGATTACTTACAAACTTATTTGTAATTAAATAATCTTGAAGACGTTGATACCACATGGATCCAGATTGTTTTAAACCATACAAGGCCTTACATAATTTAATACCATGATATTTTTTTGGAGTAGGTCCATTTGGAGTTCTTGTTTCTAAGCCATGTGGAACTTTCATATAAATATTTGCATCAAGAAAACCATATAGATATGCAATTATCACATCCATCTGATGCATCTCAAGGGTGGCATGAACTGCCATTCCAATAATATATCAAAATATAATTGAATCCATGACTAGAGAATATGTGGATTTATAATCAATGCGAAGTCGTTTAATAAATCTTTGAGCAACAAGACGAGCTTTATAGCAGGTTATTTGATTTTAAGCATCTCGCTTTCATATTAATACTATCTTATATCCCACAGGGTGAGATGTAAGAGTGTCTACAATTGGACCAAAGACTTTCTTTTAATGCAAAGAGGCGAACTCCTCCTTAATAGCAATTTTCTATTATGACCAATCAGAGTAATGCATCGCCTCTTCAATAGTTTGAGGTATAAGATTATCTTTCTTGTAAGAAAGGGCTTCTATAATCATACATGTAAATGATTCATCTACCATAATAGATGGTGTGTCCCAAATATCATCTGTAGCATAATACATAATAGATAATTCTTTCCAACTTATTTTTATTCCTTCCAATTCCAAGATTATTTTTCACAGGAATTGAAGGTACATTATATATGGATATATCATCATGAATTGGTGGTCCCACATAATGAGTGGCAATTTCTTGAGAAATAATACCAAGATTAGTCAATATTATAGCTTTTTTCTTATGTAGTTGCTTATCTAGTCCACAAGTTTTTTTAGTTGTTGTTGTTGTAATTTGAGGTATTATACTCAATGGCACTACAATATGAGCATGTGCATTTTGAGCCTCATTAATAAGAACTCTTGTAATTCTAGATGCATCATTGAAGTTATCAAATATTTTATCTGTGATCTATTTTAGATGCAAAATCTTAACAATTTCAGTTTTTGCTCAAGATGTCCTAAGATCGGGATTCATTCTAAATATTTTGGGTGCTTCAAATACAAGTACTTTATTTCTTTGTTGATTGAATATTCCTTGAAGAGATGGGAATACATTTTCTTCAAAATGGTAATTTTACAAACGTGCATGTAATAATGTGCCAGTTGATGGATCAATAATACAAATAATGCTTAATGAATCAAAACCAACATATATGCCTTCTTGTCAATGAGCTCCAATAGTACGCCATTGAGGTTCTAGTACTGGAATCCAAGTATGGAAACCAAATACTTGTAAGTGAGATACATTTGGAACATGACCCGAAATAAGTTCATGTGGTGAAATAATTTCAAGAGAAGAAGGGTAGAGGCATATTAATACTACAGCATGTAAGACTGCATGATCCTATATAGATACATGTAAATTTGTGTGCAAGAGGAGTGACTGGGTAATGAGTTGTATATGCTTTATAAATGACTCTACAAGTCTATTTTGAACATGTTCATATGGAACACAATATGTCAACTCAATTCTTGCTCTAGTATAATAGTCTTCAAAAGACTTTGATGCAAATTCTTTTGCATTATCCATATCCAATGTTTTTATAGGATAATCAAGAAAAAGTGTCTGAAAAAAAATAATCATAGATATAAGATTGGCAAATACCATGTTTTGAATTGATAATAATGAAACATGTGATTGTTTACTTGATGCATCAACAAGGACCAAAAACTAACAAAATGGTCCCGATATTGGATTACTAGGACAAAAAATATCACCATACAATCTTTCAAGGATTGGTGGTAATTCTTATGGGACTTTCCAAATTGAAGGCCAAGTAATCATCTTATCTTACTCGCATGCACGACATAATTCCATAGAGTCTACAACCGCAGGCTTTAAATTATACTCAATTATACATGAAATAATCTTTCTAAATAATGTAGAATTTGGATGTCTCAATCATCCATGCCAAAGAAAAGCACGACTCTTTGTAATAGATGATAAAAAATTAAATATAATAGGAGATCGAATTACAATTTGATATAAACCATTTTTTGTAGTAAAAGCTTTTTCAATAACTTTATGATTCTTCGTAAGAATCAAAACCTCTTTTCTATTTAACATGATAGTCGAGAGGTGATAATCATTGATATACTTATCTCAATAGCTAATCAAACTCTGAGGTGCTAAGGGTGCAAACATGATATGTTTACATTTTATGATGGAACCCACAAATAATTTTACTATCACTGTGCCTTATTAGAAAGAAAACACATTTCCTCCAACCATGGTCATCATATTTTTAGTTTGCCAAATTGAATATTTTTCAATAAAAAATCATCTATCCCATAGGATAGTATGTGTTGTTGCAGAATCAATGAGTGAATTATTTGATTCATCATTAGAGGTTTTATCATTCATATAAGCCTCTAAGTCATCAGCACCAATTGAATCCATGGATGCATCCATAATATGAACTTCACGAGCCTCAACTCAAAATTTCTTATTTTCTTGGAATATTTTAATAAAATATTTTGAAATACGACACACATGTGCTAAATGTCCAATCATTCCACACTTATGGCACGAACATATCTTTGATTTTTTTTTCTACTATAATTAATAGTAGAACGTTTATTCTTTCTATATGTGTAGAAATGGTCATGATTATGACTACCTTGATACTTATGAGCATGTTTCCCATGTTTATATATATATATATATATATATATATATATATATATATATATATATATATATATATTTTAGACTTTGAAATATTAAGTGCATGAGATTATGAAACTGTAGTTCCAATAGGACAAGCTTTTGCATTGCGCAAGAATAGCTCATTTTGCTTCTCCATAAGAAGTAGATAAGACATGAGATCGAAATAACTCTGAAATTTCATGTTCCTATATTGTTGTGCAAGCACAGCAAATATAAGAAGAAATATAGAGAGAGTTTTTTCAATCATTTCTTCTTCAAAGATGCTTTGTCCACACAATCGTAATTATGAGACAATACTATATATTTCACTATTGAAAGCATTTAAATTTGGAAAATCCAAGACATGTAAATGTGTCCAATTATGATGTGCACGTGGAAAGGAAATGGTCTTTTGATGATCAAAACTCGATATAAGATTCTTCCAAAGTTCTGTAGGATCTTCCATTTCCAAATATTGATGTTGTAATGCAGGTACAAAATGACAACAAACAAAAAGAAGTGCTTTCCAACAGATAGCAAGAAAAATAGAAATACTTATTATAGGAGATTCTTCAAACATAATGACATCTGAGAGTTGTTATGTAAATAAATTTATTTTTACCGTTTTTGTCCATTATAGATAATTGTTTCCATTTATAATCAATGATAAAAATAAAAGAACTTGAAAATGTTGGGATGTACAGGTAATAGTTAGAACCATAGTAGAAGCAGTTGAAGATGTTGAAGCACTCATTATAAATAAATTTATAAAGAAAATACAAGATCAAATAGAAAAGTTGAGTAAAATGTACCTTAAAATATAAAGTCAAATAAAATGATAAACTTGAACTTGAAAATCAAAATTTTATTTATTTATTTATTTATTTATTTATTTTAACAAGGTTGTGAATTGTGGCAGTAGAGGAGTAGTAGGACGGCGGCAACGGTAGTGGCAGCAGTGGGATCAACGACACTTGGTGGTCAACGACAGCAACAGGATCGGTGGTTGTTCAGCAACAATCGACAATTAGCAATGGCAGCTATTTGACAATAGTCAATAGTCAATTTGACATCTATTTGGCAATAGGCACGAGGTACACTAAGGAAGGTGAGCTGAAGCAAGTATTTTAAGCAAGCAGGGTAGAGAGTGGAGCAAGTGCTCTAAACAAGCAATTAATGTATGAGGGGCCAACAAGAATTGCAATGAGATTATGAAACAAACATGGAGCAAGAATAGCAACAGGTTTGAAGAGTCAAGACTAGAGCAAAAAAATTGTGATAGTATATAGAAGAGAGTCGTGCTAATAACTTGTTGAAAATATTTAGAAAGACACAAGAGTAGTAGTAAGTAATACGCACACACATAAAAATCTATTCATTTGGTTATGTCTTGTATACAAAAAGGGAAGAGGATAAATAGTTCCTCTCCACTACATTCCAAATATTATAGCTACAGTATTTACTGTAGACTACAGTAAATCTCATGGAGAGCGCTGGCTACATTTAATGCTCTCAATAGCAGGAGCTGAGTCAATAATGAAGTCAAAATTAACTCAATCTAAATAATGTTAAACACACAAAGTGAAAAAGAATCCAACAACCTATCCTTCCATCCGGCATCCATCTCGCAGCGGTCTACAGTCTTTCCTGATCCGGAGGTGAGATGATGAGTGAACGTATTTATACTTTCGAGGGAGTACGTCAGATGCAAACCAGATGGGATTAAAGAGCTGCAGTAGTGAAGGAAGTGGAGCTGGATCCTAAAGGAATCGGGCTAAGGATTGGAAGTGGGCGCTGCGGCGAATGCGCCATGAATTCTCTCAATTGCACCTGAGCCATTGAGCCATGAGCAACAAGCCAGCACTTAATGCAGCTTCAGCAGCATGCCTCGGCTGAGAGCTGCAACAACAGCAGAGGAGCAGATATTTCCCAGGCTTCACGACGAAGCCTCGGCTGAGGGATCAGTGGTAGTGGTGGAGCCAGCCAGCTAGTGTTGTTTCTCACACACCTGGGTCGCATATCCATCCACCTGGCTTTGATCAGACTAGAAAGCTACGGCACAGGCCTCATTAATTATGATTCACCCAGATGGCTGAAGGCGATGGTGAGTACTGCTGCCTCCCCTGCTACTGATGAAACCCCGCCAGAGACCACAACGGTTGCAATGTGGGTTCGAGGTTTATGAGGAGGAGGAGTGAAGTCCAAGCTGCATGTGTAGCATGGGTAGCTTTCAAGCTGTCTACCCTTACGATGGAGCTCCACAAGCTGGCCGCATTGGTGCTATGGCTGACCTGTCTGATAGCTTGGGTACAAGGCTTCGAAGCAGCAGCTCCCGCAGTGAACGTCCCAGCGATCATCCTGTTTGGTGATTCGACAGTGGACGTGGGGAATAACAATTTCCTGAACACCATTGCGAAGAGTAATTTTTTGCCTTACGGGCGAGATTTTGATACTAAGACGCCTACGGGGAGGTTCACCGATGGTCGGATGGTTAGTGACTTCATGGGTGAGCTTCTCTTTGTTTTCTTTGACCCTCTTCTGCGACTGCCACTCTCACTTGGTCTGCGATGATGCCCTGTAGTTTTTGGATGGGTCAGATTGGGTGATTTCCTACAAGGATGCGTACTCTCTTAGTTGGTGGAGTTGGAAACTGTGTTTGGGGTTTTTCATTAACGCCAGGATTACTTCAATAGGTTGAAGCTGGTTCTCCCACTTGCAACTCCTCAATGTTGGTGAAAGAGAATGGAACTAGATTATGACGAGTTGCCAATGACTTGTGTATGAATCTGTAGCTTCAAAGTTGGGTCTGCCGATGTCGCTGCCTTATTTACATCCAAATGCAACGGGGCAGAATCTTATTTACGGCACAAATTTCGCATCTGCAGCGTCAGGCTACCTAGATACGACTTCGGTATTTCTGGTAATTCCTCAGACGTTCAATAGCCTTCACTACTTAGCAATCAGTGTTGCTCACCGGCAGTGTTTCATGACGTCTCCTTCATACTCTAGTTCCAAACTTCACTGTTGGTGTCTATTGGTTATATCCAGAACGTGATACCTGCTTCCCGGCAGCTCGAGATGTTCGACGAGTACAAAATCAAGTTGTCCAAAGTCGTTGGACCCGAGAAGTCATCGTCAATCATCTCTCAAGCGCTGTATTTCGTAAGCTCCGGGAGTAACGACTTCATTCTCAACTATTTCGTCAATCCCGCCCTGCAAAGCTCATACTCCCCCACAGAGTTCAACGCGGCGTTGATGTCTACACAGACAGAGTTCGTGCAGGTGCACATCTTTATATTCTCCCTTTACTTCACTCACTGGCAAGCTTCGAAGTTCTCCGTAGTTGGCTTAGTTATTAATGTTTCACCAGTGTGGGTTTCCAATAAACCTCGCCCAATAATATTGTTTTCCATAATTATTTTCGCACTCCGACCACTGCAGAAACTTTACCAAGCAGGAGCGCGAAAGATTGGGATTTTTGGTTTCCCCCCGATTGGATGCATCCCTGCTCAAATAACTCTCTTTGGAATAGATGTCAACCAAAAGACTTGCGTGGAGGAGCAGAATGCAATTGCATCAGCTTACAACTCAGACCTCGCGGCTGCTATTCCAAAATGGCAGAGCAACCTCTCTGGTTCACTGCTCCTGTATCTGGATGCATACTCCATGCTTTACGACATCTTCAACAACCCTACCAAATACGGTAAAGAACTACACATTACAGTGTCAATGGCTTTGGCATTGACATTGGTTCTCACTGTACTCAGGTTCTCGACATCCATTTCAGAGCTCTTAGCCAATGTCAAACTTTCGTAGTCTGTGTAAATGAGCTGACAATAGGTCACATTTGTTCGACATGATATGCTTAATTTATATGCAGGTTACACTGAGGCAAGGCGCGCATGTTGTGGAGAGGGATTGCTTTCCACAGCTGGCTTCTGCAATAAAGATAGTGTAGGGACATGTACAGATGCGTCCAAGTATGTCTTCTTCGATTCATTGCATCCCACGTCTTCAGTATACCGACTAGTAGCTGAGGCATATCATGAAAAAGTAATTTCCTACTTACTTTAAGGTACACTTTGATAGACCTAATCAAATGAACAGAGGCTTGTACACAAAGGAGAACCTTTAATTGGTTTCCAGGTTTTACTGGTAGCTTGCAAGATTCCCTGGCTTTAGGAAGTGACAGCAATTTATCTGGAAAAGCTGCAAATTCCCATGGTTTCGGTTTTCGGCTGACCCCAGTGATGCTAGAGCAAGTATGAATCTAGTGACTAATTGCAAAGCTGAATATATGCCCTACTATTTTGATGTAATGTGGTTGTGCTCTTGGGGCTGTCGAAGACTCTCCTTCCATAGATGAATATTGCATTCTTTGCGCCGCTATTTGCATACTTCTGTTGGCGACGTAGCCTTGAATTCACATAAAATCTTAACCACTCCTTCATGCTTTGATGAAACATATCCATCGCAGACACATCTCAAGGTATACGCATCAATACACATCATGTAAGCATTCATAACCCTTCGTGCCAACGTATTCGATTCAGCCCCAGTTTCTGTGGTGTTTAAGGACTGGTACAGAATGAGCAGAACCTCAGACGTAGCCATTAAGTCACAAGTCCTTTCACTACAGTCCAAATGACTAACTTCAAGCTCTTCTGTAACTTCGTAAGTGTAGGCAAGGGAGAAAAGTGGCACAGAAATCTGTAGAAACAAGTTAGAAAAGTAACTCATACACTCAGTACCGTTTTAAAAACTATGGAAGTTAATGGTGGGAAAGAAATGGCTTCTTTCCGTTGCCTACATGACAGGTCCTTTGCCATGCTGGAAAAGTGACCTGTAGAAGTCAGTATTTGAAGCTGTAAGGAAAAAGAATAGAAAAGATAAGAAGATGAGTGAGGCCCAGAAATATGCATTAATGCAGTTCCATTTCATACGCTTCACTGGGAGTTGCAATGAATTTTTGCTTCTCTTGGAGAATTAAAAACATGGCAAAGGAATTGTCCTTAGCCACCGATGCAACCACATCTTACAGCAGAATAGGCGAGTCTATAGCTTTAGAATGTGGTCACATTTACTTCAATTCTGTGTTGAAGATGAAACGTTGCACTTGGGTAGATGGAGCCTCTTCAAGATATATAGATATATAGATATCTTAAAGTCTTATTTATATGATGACTTACAAGTTTTGTACATCTTACCAAAAAAATCCTATAAATATTGTAATATGTTTCAGTATAATTGCTCATTTCATAAATTTTAAAATTATTTTAGCATTTTTTTATGTATTAAAACATCAAGTTGACCTTTGACAATAACAAACAATTAGAGTTACTAAGCTTTGTTATTCTCTGCTGCATTTTAATAGATTTGTTAGTACAATTTATTTATTCTTAAAGTAGAACTTTAAGTCTAATATGCTTTCTAGATAAGCCATAATTTGTTTTTACCACTATTTAACATATTTTTCATGTGTTTTTTTGTCTACCAAGTCAAATTAATAACTAAAATCAATAATATTAAGTATACCTTCGTAACTGCCTAGTATGGGATTATATTTAATTTTTTAATAATATTATTGTATTTTAAAATTCTGCAACTTTAATCAATTTGATGTACAAATTAATAAACATATTTATAGCTTTGCAATTCTCTACAATGAAGCACTTGAGTTCCATTTTTAATGAGTTTAATTTGGTGTATAATAATGGTCTACTTTAATTCAAATTATAAAGTTTTTTCTTAAATAATAGTTCAACTTTTCGAATTTGCTAACATCAAATTCATTTTCTAGTCTTGCTTTTAATAAATCTATCATATTTGTATTACATTCCAATATGATTAAAACATCTATATGAAAGTAAAAGTATATATATTTGTTGAATTACTTTCTGGACTAGATGTTGTTGATGTGGTTTCATGTGAAATCCTCTATACCAAACACGTTCATACTAGCTCTTGGTAATAGCTTCGATCTGTGCAGTAATTTGATCAAGTTGCAAGAGAAGTATTCTCTTGGAAGTGAGGTCAATTCCCATGTACTGTTCAGCATTGGTCATGTTCTTATTGCATAGTCTTCGCATTTTCTTACATTTAAACTTTCTCACATTTGAGCACCTTAACGCCTCTTGGCGCTGAGTATATCTAAGAAAAAAATTACTTATACTACAATGATACCAATTCAAGCAATTTACAAATTATCTCTTAAGGCATTGCGCTAGCACTTGTGATGATTGCAATGAGCAAAGATGATTGATAACTGCGAGTTGCACTTCCATAATCCTACACAAGCTCTTGTTGGCTCACGTCCAAATGAGTGCCAGAAGTTGAACTAAACCCCACCGCAATCCTACATGATGGCTGTTAGTCACACCACTTCCACACATATGAGTGCGTCACAAATGAAATTGGTGAGGCAAAAACGAGGTTTGCCACCCATTTGCTGCTGAGCCTTCTAAATTCTGGCTGCAAAACTATGTGACTGCATTTGCGCAATTCAATAAATGATTAAAGGGAGGGGATCACTTGAAACCTATGGGGATTTGTCAGACCAGGGGCTATACTCTAGAAAAATGGTTTCCCGATCACTAACCTTCGTTTCAGAGAGAGTAACCGGAATTCTTCATTCTGACTTCACCTCAAGGCAAAGACCTACGACCCCAGCCAGAAGCCATTAACAGGTAAGATCTCGCAATATACATGTTAAGTCTCATTGGGTTAGACCGGAAAAAATAGACGCAATTGGGTCGTCATCATCCACCAGAATGAACAATGCTACTGTTTTTGGTACGTAGCATAAAAAATAAGATTAATAGACTTTAGGTCGGGATTGAGAATTTCGTAGTATGTAGGAGTCGTAGTCAAAAGCTGCGGTCATCCAAAGTCGTCGGACCTGTGAAACGTTATGAATTAAAATTGACTCAGAACAGCCCATTTAGAGAAGAATACTAAAACAGAAAATCCTACAGGATCATAGTCATAGTATGCAACGGTAAATTTGCGAAGTAAACAAACTGATAAGTTACAGATTTGCAAAACCAATCCTGACGTAAGGTTAACACTACTGAAACTACACAACATGCATTACTTTTGATCGGGATAGTTACCTCATTCAAACGGAGATCACTCAGATACAACAATTGACTTCTCCTCAAATACAAATCTTCCTGCGCAGGCTTTTAAGACATACCACCATCAGCACGCATTAATGAATGAGCACATCTCACACCAAACAAAAACTGCAAACTAGATCATAACTAAACATGACACTAATGCTTCAAAGAGGAAGAAAGACTCTAACCTCTCCGTGGACATCTAGGTATAAAGAGAGCCCCATGCAAGTCCTATTATTCCGGAGCAGCAGGAGTTGAGTAGATCGGAGTAACAAGAATATCCCTACACCAGCCGATTCTGAAACAAGAACAAGCAACGTCAGATGATTGTCCTATTCCTTAATCAAAATTGGGCAGTAGAATACACCTGAATCCTCCACATCATTTAATTCCTAATGTCGAACTTGACACTAAATTTGCCTGCTACTCTTGTACTTCAGTGAGAATCATTTCTAAGTACGTGAAATCATACCAGCTGCTGCATGTCGAGAACATTCTCCGATCCCATTCTTTCTGCAGCAATCAGACCCACAGCATAGAAGCATTCCACAAATGAGGCAGATTGCAGGATCCCTGCACAAAAGACCGTAGATTCATCAGTATTGGTTGATAGGCTGCCGAGTAACAGGTGTGTCTGGTTAAAAACTAATCTATCCGCTTACGGAGTATTGCAGTCGAATGGACAAACGGCCAAATCGCTAAAACCATTAGACCTCATGACCAACAGCAAGAAGTACAAAGAGAACAGAAGAAGTAGGAATGAACTCACGTAGGCATTTCCCCGCAAGCAGCACATTTCTTCTTGTTGTGAATGTTCTCCAACAACAATTCCTGGAATACACGAGGCAGTTTGTGAAGCAGCGTCTTGCGAGGAACTTTGCGTAGCTCAAACGTGGATCTATTCCGACGATATAGGCTTAAGAGTTGAGTTGTCAAGGCTTCTGTTGCTCCTGGATTTTTGCGCCAAAACAGCATAAAAATGAACGAATGAATACGACCGTTTTCAAATTCAAACAACACTCTTCAAGGTGCCTTACACTACAATTTCTATACATCCAAGAACTGAATACGACAAGAGCATGAGTGAATTTCAACAGATGTAAAAATAAAAGAAAAGAAAAGAAAAGAAAAGAAAAAAGCAGTACCAAAGAAATCAGGATAAAAGAGACTGTTGGTTACCATAAGGTTGAAGAATAAGATCGCAATCTGGAAGTTGCAATTCCAGCTGTAAACTGAGAAAGTCCATCGCCTTCGTCCCTGGAAATAAGGAGCATTTCCACAATTAGAACGTTGCCATCGATTAAATCCAAATATTGATATTGGGGGATGCACTTCAAGTCTACCGTTAACATAAAATAAACTGCAGTATACCCACTTCATGTCGTACCTGATAATCCATGTTGTCCCCTAAAGTACTCTCGAGTAGCAAGTTGCACCTGAGAACACACATAAATAGCAGACTTTAAATAAGGCTAAACATCTCATTTTGTGAACTGTGGTCAGGATCAACATTCTGAAGACGTTACAGGAAGATCACATTGACAAAAAGAATAAACAGCACCTTCTGAATTAATGACATTAATAACAATTCGATCACAATCACAACCAGTCAACCTTGCCGAGTTCTGAAAAAGGGAATCATAATACCAAAAAGATGAGACAAAATACCAGAATAGCAGCTCTGCGTAGAAATGGGAGACATGCTCTTTGAACAAGGCTCTTCACATCAGACCCTTCACAATCCAGCCTAGTGACTGCTATTTGTGTCTGCAAAACCGCCAGAGTATACGCGAACTTCACCATAAAAAGCAAAGTGCGTCTACTGGGTTGTCCCTTGGAGATCTGCACAGCATAATATTGAAAATGAGTAAAAAATACTGGATGCAGAATGCAATACTAAATCTCTGTGAAAATTTTGCCTGAGATGTCCAGAAAAAAGCAGTTAACAATGCTGTGCTCGACTGAGAGCACTTACGATTAAGAGGACGATAAGCAGCCTGAATGGATCAGTTGTAAAGATGCCATTTTTCAAGATATCTTGCATCCAGGTATCTTGAGGTTCCGGTAAGATACTTTCCTCTCGCTCTGGAAGTGAGCGACAACTCGAATAATTACCTATCGTGTTTCCTTCTCTCATTTCATATTCGAATTTTGCATCCTCAAACGAGATCACATGCTTTTGTTGAGGATCAGGGGCAATAGGATCTGGAGCGGCTGGTCTACTGCTATATGTATAGCCGTGATTAAGTTCGACAAAGGAACTATATTTGTTATCCTCATAGAGCTCACTTTGAGTTGTATTTGTATGGATCAGCACTTCTTCACTTTCCTCCTGCATGTCTAGGTGGCATGATAAAGGGGAAGATCCTGAGTCCTCTTGAATTCCTGCAGTCTCATTCTGGCAGTGAAAAGAATCGATGGAAATATCTACCGATTCCGGCAGCTCCGAAGTTTCCACAAAATCAAGTGGGTTTTGAGGGAATATTTCCCGAATGGTCCTCTCAAGCTCATCCATCCCATCCAAAACAGGTGAGGGCTCTGTAGCTGTATCTGCGACTGACAGTTTATCTCTCCTGCCTACCAATCCAAGGCTACGCCGCAGCATATTGAACCATTGGCCTTTGTCTTGCACTGTTAAAATAAACCATAGTCAGTGTCGATCATGAATAGTGCTTGCCGAGAACTTGAACCATAAATGCGAAACTACGCAGAGCGATAAGCAGTGCGACATTTAGAGCGGACAACAGAAAAGCCCAGCTAACTTCAAGCAACAAACTGTCGAGATTCAAAGTGAAAAGATATATACTGCATATGCAACTACTTGAACACGAATTCAAATGCTTTAGGAAAGATACACATTTGGCCACAATTCTTAAATTTAAGAAACTAATCAACGAAGCAACCATGTCAAACGAACACATAAAAAATTCAATAAAATCCAAAAAAATCCAAAGAACAATAAAAACATATTCCACATTATACTGAAGTAGACGAAAAACCTTTCAGTAGTCATTTAGGAAGTTCTCACCTGCATCTGGCAAGGTGTTGGAAAGTATGGCTAGCTTTCCGAGATCTCGCAAGGCTACCCAGTGAGCGGAATCCCCCCCCCAAATACATTCCTCTGATCTCTTACTTGGTGCCGATGATGAAGACGACGATTCCGCCATCGTAAAGCCATCTCTAGTTTCCACTTCGCAGTGAACAACATTCAGAGCAAGTTCTTCCCAGAGAGCCTTCATGCACGACAGAAACGTCCAGATTTCAGCTTCGAATATAATCAGTTGAATCCGACAAGTCGAATACAGTTTTGAATCTACTATTGACTGCATCCAGTTCTAATTCATAATTCGTAATAATAAATAATAAATAAATAATAAATAAATAATAAATAAATAATAATAAATAAAAAATCCACAATCAGGCGGCGAGTCGTTGTTTGAAAGGATGTACTGACATAGTCAAACTTCATCATGGAATAAGTATTACAAGAACTTCAACATGGAAGACGTCCATGAGACTTACCTGTGAAATTGTAAATTCACTTGATATGTTTAAGTGAAGATTTGGAGATTGCTTGCGAACCTTCAACATCTGAATCAACAAAACCAGCAACATCAGTCCAAAAGGCTGTCTAGCATGATAATATTACTGCAAAATATCATAAATAGAATAGATTACTACATAATAGATACACTTTCAGCACATCCACATACATTTCTGAGCACAAGAACTGCAAAAAAAATTCATGTCGAACGTTAATACCTCTGTCTGAAGCAACAAATGACAAGATCGTACCTGATGACAAAAGCATTCCATAGCGCTCTTGAGATTATTGTTTGCTTGCCAAAACCCGCTCCACTCTTGTCTTGTTTCAGCCACCCCTTTAACATCGTCGTGCAAGTCGATCCTTTTAGATGAGATGGATGCATCCACATCTGGCAGAAGAATGTTCGCTAAGCGCCGGCAAGTTGGGCACGAGAACTCAGAAATCGAAGGATCCGCGACACCATTTCCTAATAATACGAGTCGACATGCAATCACTAAATACATATCCCATGCAGCTAAAAAATGACTAGTCCCTAATAAACCAGAGAATTCATTGAGAAGTACGCTAAATATATGCTAAGATTGAAAGAATCAGTCAACACCCAAAGAAGAGACAAATCCAAGGGTCATTCATGAAAGATTTGAAACAAAAATGAACACAAAATGCAGATGACAACACTAACAACTATCATGCACAAAATTATGTCTCCACTAGCTTTGAAGCTCGACTCATCAGAACCTCAACAAGTAAAAATATAATTTACCAACTCATAAACTAAAAATAGACTAACATGAACACATGGTATACAAGTTATAGATGCACAATAGGTAGAGTGCGTCAGAAAACTCACCCGGATGATAGCTCATCTGCAAAGTCTTCATATGACCTTTGAAGCAATCATAGTGCATCTGATTTGTAAATGAAAATGTTAATCCTCAATAAAGCTGTTATCAAATGCACCGATTGTTCGAGTAGGAAATAGTTCAAAAGAACCCAGGAAAGATCAAATGAAATTTCAAACCAAACGGGATGTCTTAAGTACACAAAATATTTTAAGTAGAATCAAGCAAAACCAGCCAAAGACATTTATGACGAGCACATCATGAAGCCATCACCATTACTGGATGGCTACAACCCACAAGTCGTTGACTGCAAATTAAACCATACCAACCGAATACTGGCTACAACCAAACCTGCCTTGCCCATGCTTTTCTAACACTGAACAACTCCTTAAGCGTTCTATTTCAAAGTGGATATGTGAACCCAATTGTCCATCAAACCAATCCAACATCGCAAAAACATTGGACCGTGGTTTCCGTAAATAGACTAATCCCAAAGTGAAAACAAAAGAGATGCAGACAAGTCCTGAGAGTCGAACACAATCAGTACCTGATGACCGCAACATTGAACATGGTCTACAGTTGATAAATCAATCGAAGTTGCATTTCCTGATTCAATGCTGTATCCCACGGTAATCAACTGATCGAGGCCACCATTCAAACCCAGTCCATGAGAAGATCCGTCATTAACAAGGGTATTTTCGCCAGTGTTAGTTACTTTTTCTGCTCTCTTCAGAACTTGGCACGGAAAATTATACCGTTGCACTAACGCAATCCAGCACGGTGAAGAGTTTTTATCATCCTTCTGCAATACCATCCAACAATGCCTGTCAAAGTCATAGAATGCAAACAAAGAATATTAAGAGCATACAAAGACCTGAAAGCCATTGACTTCACACACAAGCAATTCTTTTCAAATGAATACTAATGCAAACCAAGGAATATGATGGCCTCTGAATAAAAGGCTAATAGAACAGAACGAACATCCCATACCTTCCTTTTGCAAAGAACACATTCTTTAGCTTCAGATGACGTCTCCATAGACAAAAATTCAGTCTCAGCAATAGGAACCACAGATTTTGCAAGAGCTCCGGAAGAAGAAACAGTCCCAGTCTTACAAGACGAAGCTTCGTCGACAGTATTGGAGACGTCCATCTCGGAACCATCTTCAAATTCTTCGTCATCATCACAGTCATCCTGAAGTTCCATAAAAGCCTTTCGTCTGCATTAAAAGCATCCCTCGATCAGCCTCACATAGATCAAGAAGAAAACCTGGTTCAGAAGCGGCCGTAAATAGACACCACCGCAAACTTCTGTTATGGCTTTTAGGAATAACATTGACTGATCAAAAATTATTTAAAACACAATAAGATATTTGTCTTGTAAATAAGTTACAATCGAGGTAGCAATGTTGAACATGTTCAGCAAAACTACAGTACTTTGTAGCTTGAATTTATCACTCTTCGTCTGGATTTGTAGGTGTGTGAATATGGGAAGAGAGAGAGAGAGAGAGAGAGAGAGAGAGAGAGAGAGAGAGAGAGAGAGAGAGGGATGACCGATTCAATCTCTTCACATGTGAAGCTAAAAAAGACATGAACCTCGAAACAAACATCAGTTAACTCCCACTATCATTTTTATAAGATACTAAATGCAGACATTAAGAACTGATAACCCACTTGGCAGCAAACTCATCAAGGATTGCCTTCTGACGCTGTTCTTTCCGTAGCCTGCGCTGCATATCTTCAGCACCTTTAGAATCAACCTGCAAAAAGAAAAATCCACACAAGCATTAACCTTAAATGGCAAAACCCACCAATTCTTCAGCCCCAAAAAGAACCACGATAATATAATCGACGTAGATTATAATGTACGCAGATGTAGTATGGGACAATTCAACTCGAGGAAATAGAGCAAAAACACTCAAAATAATCATCGCTGACTAAGGCTATTACCTCAGCAGCATGAGTCTTCTCATTGGTCGAAGAACACAAGAGTTCAAGAACATGGCGAACAGAATCCACCAAGCCTGTCAAATGCCACACAGTGAACAGGTTAGAAGAAACAATGTGAGTTCCAGCAGAGACCAACTTCACCTTCACTTAAAAAGAAGTTTATACTCTCAACCACAAACAATATAGATCAAAGAACACAGTGCTTGTCAAGTTGACTTGTGAAAAAGCAAAGCCGGCGATGATTTAAGCTTCCTGTCTATATGCCACTTACGCGTGCACTGATTAGCTTGGACTATCTCCTGCAGCATCTGAAAGATGCTAAGATGAGGTCCACCTTGTATTCGAATCCGCACATAGATGTTAATGAAAATGTCATCGGTAGAATATTCATCAAAAGGCTCCTGAAACTGGACCTTAGCATCAGCATCCCTGCAGAAACGGAACCACGCATTGCTTGAGGCAAGATCTTGACAGCACGTTGGCTTTGATGATAATAACCAAACAATATACTCACACAAGAACTAAATATGGTAATCTAAGACCCAGGAACCTGACCGAGCAATATCCACACTCGGCCGTCTTGTCCCACAAAATTCGAATAAGAAACATGTCAACATCCATTTCGTCCAACTTCAATTCGAATGAAAATTACAAAACTAACCTGAACTTGTTACACGAATCAGAAACCAGAACTGCCATCATTTGCAAAGCAGTTACACCCAAAGCTTCACCAGCTGTTGCTGTGTCATCCTTTCCAACTAGTTTTCTCACCTCATCCAGCACATTCAGCAGAAACAGATGACATGCCTAATTTGAAAACATCACACAATAATTCATCAACAATACAAAGGGTACTTCACGAATATATTGAAACAAAGCGTTGACTATCAAACGTGCATCAACTAGGCACCTGCAGTGTACAAGCGACATCAAGTGTTGCATGTAAAAAATAATGTTGAAAACCGCTGAATGTGCTGTTAGACGAAAAATTCATTGCGAAGTTTACGTACCTTTGTATGCAGAAGACCAGAAAGCCGATCGTACGGTGCACCAGCAGCTGATGGTGCTTTAATGCGCCAGTAATGGTCCAACTTCCCAACTTTCACAGCCCTATCCTGAATAGACAAGAACTCACTACATGTAGGTTACCTTGTTCGCAATTGTAGTTGGCATGCGGCCTCGAAAATTTGGTGCACGGGAAGTCATTATGTCAGTCGTGCTCCAACAAGATAAATCTTGCATTAGGACCTGCCATGCACAACTCTAGACTGCACATACAGCTCTCAAATTCCACAACCTGTGGTCTTCAATGATCATAATGCCTAGATGTCGATATAAATGCCTTTCGATTCTTACACGTTACTGGCCTGTACTATCAACACATAACAGAGTTTTAAATAAAGCGTAGCCTACCTCGGCTTCCTCCAACTCATTGAGATAGTAGTGAGGAAACAAAGGATCGAACTCTTCCCAGTACTCAGGCTTCAGTTGATAATACCCGCGATCAGCAACCTGCCAGCTCAATGTGAATGCTTGGTCGACTGTACATAGGTTACTGTAATATATTAATGTGTAAAACCTCAAACACTCAGTTGGACAATCGAATAAAAATGTTGGATGGCAGAACCATAAGTCCTATTATGACTACAAATGCTGTAAAATCCCAAGTATGTCGAATAAAAAAACTACCACTATATATTCATGGTTTGTGTAGCCAATGTTCACATTCAGCAACAGAACAATACAACACATTAGAACATCGTGCCTTGAGAGACAGACCTTAGGCTCGTGGTAAACAGCTACTTTTTCCAACATCGCATTCAATTTCTGGTGATTCATGGGGATGGCACTCAATGCTCGACATAGCTGAAATCAGATATTAGAACGCCGACAGTTATTGACGAGAAGACGAATAATAAGGATTGTATGCTAAAGAGATAAGCCAGAGTAGAATCAGGAAACTCGATTAATCATATCAAATCTCGTCTGAAAATATTAGCGAAAACTCATGTAAGACATACCTGCGAGTAAGTCTGATCACGAACACACAACCATTGTATGACATCATACTGAAGACATTTATCTTGTGCTTCATCTTCTTCTGTCCGACCCAAATTGCGCCGCTCACGCACAATCTACAAATTCAAACAAGGTCACTTGAACGTATAAACAACGTCACTTGAACGTATAAAAAACGTCACTTCAACTTAACGTTGGCATTGGTAACAGAACTGCTGAACCTACCAGCAAAATTAATCGCATAAAATCTTGCAGAAGCGTAATATAGCGGATTGGCAGCTTAGGAATCGTGCGAGATGTTGTCATGTCCTTGAACTGTTGCAGCAAATCCAACATACAATTAGCAGCAATACAATTAGCTCGCAAAAATGTTTCATGTACTTTCAAGGTACACAAAGAATATCATCATAAGTCGCCGCACCCTTGCTACACCTCAATCTACTAAACCAAAATGCTATTTCCTGATTTAAATGATACTGACCAAAAGTCAAGACAAATCCCTGATTGTACCGTCCAGAAAATTAAAATACAAATAAAACAGATAAATAAACATGCAGACAGTGATGCTAGTTGCGCAACATAAATAGCAATCAGCATGCGCTGCACAGTTCCTTTTATACCCCCTAGGCCTAGAGAGAACATGATTAGAACAAATTAAACTAAAAGAGGCGTTCCAAAGGGTACATTGAATCGCTCCGCTATCCTTATAAAGATAGTTCCTTGCAAGTTTTCACAAGCAACGGTGCAGAACTGTAGAAGTAATATATCCATATCCATTGACCTGCAAGTCCATTAACATTGAAAATGCTTAACTATTATAATTTAAATAGTCATTTACGAACAATAATCTCTTGTTGTGCATCGCTATCATTCAAATAAAATACAAAGCATTCACGATGTAGTCATGACAAAGTGCTATTTAAGTTGCACTAAATCATTTTCTACAGATAGCAAAAGACTGTAAGAAGAGCTCTTTGTTGTCAGAAAAGGTTCCATGAATAAATCCAAGCCATTGTACTTCTCACGAATAACACCAAAAGGTAAAAAGTGTAGACAGTTCTCTTACTGGTCATGCCAGAAACTCCCTCTGTAAATGAGCTCAAGACGACTAAACTCCTCCGATGCTCTTCGCCACATTTGCGCGCGAATCTACAACCACGAAACAAACCTGAAACAGTGAGTACTGTACTTCATTTTCAAAGAGCAATAATCGGCAAATCTCAAAAGCCTAACTTCCACATGAACCAGAGATTAACAGCAAAGTGCAAGGCACAAGTTAGTCATCAAACCTGAGCCATCCAAACGGATATGGCCAAAGGATGATCCATGAGAGCCAGCACCTGTAACATAATCATTTAAATAAAATTGATTAAATTTTTAAGCTCTGCATTAACCAAACCATCCTGGTTGTGGCTAGTTTACGAAATCCTGCAGCTACATATGCATTCCATGTGGCTCCTCATTTACATAGAAACAACAGCTGGTGAAACGTGATGAAACAACATGCATCTCCTACTGTATTGAGCGTATGGTGTGTCTAAGCTGCATGAGAAGAGCTGTCACTTGTATGCAGCCAAGTGATTGCAGTAGCTCAACGAACAGAAGCAAGGAGATAGCACAGCAAGGCAGTACCTCATCTTCGCTAAAATTGAAGGCACCCTTTTCTTTCAGAGCAGTGAGAAAACCCCTCTCGTAATTCCCCCATGGTAAGAGCACAAGCTTTTGTAAAATTGCACTTAATGCCCTGTGAAGCGGTATGTGCAGCGAAACTGATTTGGATGTGTTCATAGCCTACAGACATCTTCCACACGCTTCCTTATTTCCGATTCGAACATTCAAGCGCAGCGTAACGACAGGTCAAGCCTACTATGACACTCATACTGCAATCCATTTGCACAGCCGTAACCCGACATGAACATGCTCTTCAGGTAAATGAATTCGTTTTAGAACCACATTTAGCCAGTAATTAACACAATACATTAGAAAATACCAAATCTTAAACCATAGTATCAAATATATAAAAATGAAATAAAACCAAGTACCAGTATTGGAAAGACACCATACATAGTGCAAGCAACTAATACCAGGCATGAACTTACCTGTGCCAAATACTGCTTTAAGGCCTTGAATGTGTATGTAGCTGCCGTAATGAGAGCTTCCTCCCTAACTAGAGGAGATTGATAACAACGTGAGATCAACTGGAATATTATTGCCATGCTATTCATCTGCATAACATAAAACAAACCAATTCAGCCACACAATAATATTTAGAAACAAATTTGAAGACCGAATATGAAATCAAGTGTAATGCAAGATCTACAATAGACACATCAGCCTATCACGCTTTCATAACAGAGGGTTGACAAAGTAACAAACCAGCTACATACTCTCCACAGTGGACTGACCTCCATCAACTGAGTCAGAAAGACTATCTAATACCAAGAGCTGAGCTAGCAAAAGATACTATGAAGACTGCAAACCTCCAATTGGATCGCAAGTGTCCACGAGTTGTCAAAGTCGTAATCATATGACAGATCATATGAATTCATCCACTGCACAGACAGATTTGCAAATGTTCTAAAGTTGGCCTACCTCCACAATTCAAGTAAATAACAAAAGAAACACCTGAATGTAAATCATCTATGCTAAAAAAGCTAGTTCAATCTCTCGTCATCAAATTAGCGTGACCTCAAATATCAAGGTTCAAACTCATTTATCAAAAATTAAAGATCAGCGTGCCTCCTAGTTCTGAACACAAGCTGGGGCCACAAGGATCTTTATGAAAAGCATCATGAAGACACTTGAATTCCAAGAACTTTCAATTTAATGGGACCAGAAAGAAAACAGATATACTACTTCCCGAACATGATAATAGTGTATAATTCAATATCCAGCAATCTACACTAGTTTCCACATTAGAAACAAAATTACTAAACCAACCTGCAACTTGACGAGTAAACCGAGAAAATGTGGGAAAAGCTCTGGTTCGTTTGTGAGAATGTGAACCGCAATATCATCGTGTGACACTATCAACCGCAAATCACCTTGAGGCCGGAGGTAAACCTGGTTCTCACAAGGCCATCAATAATTAAAATTTATCCCGAACTTGTCTCAATTGAAGAACAAGATATACATCAAACTAAACACGAATTCCTCCACAAGGAATCGCTAATTAATGGCCAAAAGAAAAGCAGCTAGCACTACATTCACAACGATGCTGTCACATATGGACCCAAATAAATATTTCCAACAACTACTACCGCTTACACAAACGATTCATTATAAGCAGGAGCCACATCATGAGACATCAAAAACAATCCCCTTGAATCGGCAGCAGTGCGCACCTTGCATTTGATAGCATCGTGATCAACAATATTGTCTATCGGGCTGAGCAAGATTTGAACAGCAAGAAAACATTAGTGAAGTAATGGGCAATCGAAAACTCATAAATAGGCAAAAGATCCAAATGTATTAACTATTCTAGTTTGATGAAAAAAGCATCTTTCGTTCCATGTAACTTATCCTGATCAAATATAGAGCAATTTCTCCCAATATCCAGATTGATTCCTTTTTAGGTAGAGAATCCAGGTTTTACACTAGCTATCAAATACCATGCAAGTAATTATTCGTTTCCCTAAACCAGATTAGCAAAAATTAAAATACCAACAGTAGAGAAGTGATGAAAAAAGCAATTACTTTTCGGCAGCACAATCCACTACTCGGCGAAAGACTCCAATAAATAACTCGAGTAAACTGTATTTGTGAATGAGCTCAGTTGTAAAGACTGGATCATTAAATAACTGCACCATTACTGAAAACATACAGGTTATATGAGCCAATACTTCCTTAAAGTAAAGATGAGATTGTAGGTGCATCAACAGCAAGGCTCACCAATACCAACTCATTAAATCTATCAAGAGAACTAAAAACTATCGGTGGATTGAAAGGATAAATTGACTGTAACAATGTGAATGCAACCCATAATCAGTACTCGAATAAAATTCTATACTCACCGGGAGAATCTTTCGAATATATATCACTGCTCTCAACGGAAAAGAAAGAAAGAAAGAGAGAAGAAATAATGATAACAATAATAGTAACTTCCAAAACTGAAGGATCCAGGGGAAGACTCAACAGGAGGGTTTCTATTGCACACCAAACCTCGAACTTGTTAACGTAATAGTACAAGATACAAACACGTACCTCTGTCTAAGTTAGTGTCAAGGTGCGTGTAATTCTTCATATATTGTGAATTACCCATAGCAAGGAAAATCATGTTCTCATACTTCACTCTTAGGATACTTAAGAATTGATCCTTAAATTCATTTTTGTACAATAATTGTAAGTACAAAGTTGTCTCCTGCACATAGACATACACTATGATCTCAGTCAAACAAAGAACAGTTCCTGATTTCAAGACCACCCAGAATTTTTCCCCGGATTGCAGACTTTACCCAGTACGAGGAAAAAACTCATCAACATGTCGCTGGACAGACATACTAACCTGATGAAGGTGTACGCAAATGTTCTGCTAAATTACTTAAACATTCTTCGAATCAACCACCTAGAACAGAAAATGCATGCACAGAAAGCTCTCCAAACCTATACTGTGCTCTCATGACCATCTCATTCCAATACTACGCTTAAAAGTGCATGTTACAATACCGCTTCAATAAGCTTCTCTGGCATCCAGCCCAAGCAATCCAACAAAAACTCTAGTGGCGACGTTGAAGCGTCAGTCTGCAAAGATAGTAAACATACAGATCAAAACTCATGGCCGTGTCGTCGAACACAACAAGATCAATCGGCATGATTCCGCAATTCCATAATTTACAACGTCTCACCAACTTTTCAATATGCTAATTATTCAGGATATATACAAATAAGAACCTTAAATGATTAAAAAAATCTTTCGATTACCACTGTGACAAGCATTCAACCGGTTACAGAGTCCAAAGGAACACAGACAGTGGACTGTCAATGATGTTATTAACCAGTGTCTCCAGAAGGTGCAAAATATACAATTTCAAAAAGCAGCGACTCAGAAATAGCCCTAGAACATGAGCATAGCATCTTAAGTGCGTACCTGATGTAGAATTTTATAATGTACTATGTCATAACAAACAATACTGCGCAGCGCGTCCACAGCGCAAATCTGCCGTGCAACAGTATGACAACTTAAGTCGAAAGTCATATCGAAGCAGAAAAGTTTCGAAAAGCCACGATTATTAGTGTTTGTCAGTTATCAATCGCAACAGACCACTGTCGAGAGACTGAGCGGTACTGGTGCAACACATCATCCTCAAAGAAAAAGCAAAGTTTCGGCTTCATAGAATTGAAGGAAATACAGAATAGAGCTATCTCAGAAAACCATTCAAAACTCGAATGTGATTTTAAACATACAGATTTTATGAAAAGAAATTGATAGACCGAGAAGAACTAAGTAACTAAGTAATTTATCACGTGGAGAAATGATGCCACAAACAATATGAATCAGAGCGAAAGAAAGCAAGATGGCCCAACCTTCTGCGACCACTCCAAATACAACATGACCATTGAGACCTCCAAGTCGGTCTTCTCTGCGTTGAGATCATCCAAAAGCTTATCCAAAAGCTTCTTTACCCAAGCAAGTAGCTCTCGTAGCACATGTTGCACTGCAAAGCACCAACAAGCTTACACAAATTATTGCACAATATCAAAGAATTACTACGAATCCATGAACTGAACCTGACTTTAGACACTGTCTCCCCAACCCTAGTCCTGAGTCTTATCGCTTACCAATGTCCATCGTGAGGATCAAAGAATTCAAATGAACAACATACTTTGTAATATGCCAGTGTGATATTGTCAATGACAAGCTGACGCTTTACACAATAACCAATATAGAATAAGTAAATACATGAAAATAAAAAAAATAAAGCCAAATTCTCACCGGCAAAATGTGTAGGCTCTAAAAGTTCATCTTTCACCTTAGATTCTAACACTTGAACACGTTGATGGGCACTACAAAACCTGCAAATGATAGATAAGCAATAAGAAAGTACTCAAGATTCACAGAATAACAGCAATTAGAAGAATTATGTAATGCAATTATTAACGTTAATAAAGAAGCCACGAAGGAATTACAGAAGGGCTAATAAAACGTACCCAGATTCTTTCCAAGCAGCCCGGTCTCCACAGTCACAACATCCACCAGATTCACTATGATACATAACTGGATTCATCCAAACGTCAGAGAATGTCTAAAATAAGTTCGAGCTCTAGCACGATGATGATGACCATAATAACTATGCTTGGCTATTAACACAGTGAGCATCACATGTAAACTAGAAAAGGCTCACAATTTTGTAAGCGACTCAACACAAAGAGTTGGAATATTTGGTGTACATTTGAGCCCCAAGTAAACGTAGAGTGCTCCTCATTGAAAAGTCATCGATGTGTTAAAACACACTCAGCAAAAAAGGCCGAATAATTTCTCGCAAAACTGAAACATGGAGGAAAGCTGAAGAAAGAAATAGATTACCGTAATCGTGATCCCAATGGTTTCCCTTCTTGAAACACACGACACATATTGCACTACACACCAACCAAAGAATTAAAGTGGACACAAGGAGTTACTTTGTGCAAAATCATTACGTATCATAAAAATTAAAATAAAATACAACATAATGTTTAGTCAACATAGCTTGTATTTCAATATTCAAACCCCCCCCAAGATGTGAAATGTCCCAATGATGACAAAAATGAAATAAGAACCGTAAGCGATCTTTTTTTGATAACCGCCTCCCTTCCATGAATATGACGTTCTAGTAGAATCACGAAGTGTGAGTCTCTAGACATTCCTATCAGATTGTTAGCATCCCACCTTGACAAATGATTACGGTTCATAGTGACGTTTCCTGATTATTAGATACAAACGCTACAGGTTCATGATTTAGCACGAAGATCTACATGTAAATTTTGAACCTACCGCCTTCTCCATCTTGAGGAGAAGCATGATCAGATAACCAGAACACGTTAACACGCCAGTAATTTTAAGCTAGATATCATGGTCTGAAGAGATCAAGTTGATGGTGTGAATGTTACTGCCATGTGGATTGAAGGCGTCCAGTTTCAACCCATCAGGCATGTTGCAAATGACCGTGTGGCACAAGCAGGCCAGAGACCAGTCTTGCAAAACGCTCTTCCGTAATATCCGAAACGAAACCCCATATTCTCTACATCCGACTCATTGAGAGTAGACAAATAGGTATAACGAACCACTCGGACAAGAGAAGTCCAAAAATCAAAATGGTCTTGACATACTCAGTTATATTCGATTTAGTAAAAAAAAACAGAACAACATAGGCAGGAAGAGGAAAAGGCTTAATGAATACACACCTAGAATCGTTTGTTTGACAGGTGCGGCACCGGTAGGCGATTATTCCTTTGGACCATACGTTTGTACATTGCGACTGTCCTTGAGCCTTGAAGTAGTCCAGGTATGAATCCAAAGGGTCTCCTCCGCTCATGCGTAGAGTAACTGCGTGGAGGAGCTCTTCCGCATCTTTCATATCACACGAAGTAGGTTCAAGCAGAGACATCTCGGAATGCACCCACTTCCACGCAGGCCAGTCGGACAGCAGCACGTGAGTTCCCCACCGCAGTTACGAAATTAGAGATAGACGAAGAGAGGAAAACTTTCCCCAAAAACAGCGAATAGCGTTCTGACGTCGCATTCTCAGTAATAGTTTGTGAGTGCCGTCGATTTCACACCAACGATGCCTCTTATCATCAAATTCCATGGAGCCTCCAAACTTCTCCTAATCCTAGTCTTCCAGTCTTTCGACAACCAACTCGCCACTTTCCTCCTCAAGCCCACTCATCCAGCAATCACATTCATCTTCCCTCTCCTCGACCAAACCCTAACACGCAGATTTCCAAATCTCTCACCAAACTCCCGCCGTGAAATCACCTTCCCTACTTATGTCGCACAAACTTCTCACCAACTTTCTCAGCCACGTGTAAACAGACAACGGATCTTAACACCGTTCGACCCCTGGATGCAGTCCCCATAGCGAGAGTGCATTAGGGTAAAACCTACAGAACAAACAACACTGCGCCAGTGGCCATTAATTTTTTTCGTAAAATGCCGTGCCTCTGCCCCCCCTTGGCCCCTACCTCCTTTCTGACGACGTCCCTGTTAGCCACCTTGACCTTCATAACAAACTCATGGTTGTTTCCGAAGCTGCACTGTCGTATGGGCCGTCGTTTTTAGGCTCCAACAAGCTTTTTCCAGCTGAGTTTGCCGACAGTGTTGACTCACATAAGGACCAAGCCATTTTTTTAATGGTAGAGGACGAGGAACTATTACCGACAACGGGGGCTTGTTGGCGAACATGCTTTCCGTCCGTCCGGCCGTCCGTCGGCCTGCGTCGACGGTTGTATCGTATCACTGTTTCATCCGCCGTGACGATCTGCCGTTACGGAACCAGTTATATAGAGGGGAATGCGGACCAAATTAAGGTGTCAGTTTTAATTTCCTTGCTCCTTCAAGACATCCTTCCTGGAACATGCTCGTCATATCCGCCATCGCATTTCTTAGATAAACCTCTGCACTCCAACATGAGGAGGCTCCAGACAAAACTGGTCCAGAGGTGTACTTTAGAGTAGAGCGAAGAATCCTTTCCACTTCATGAATAATATATGTTTGGGTCTGAAGAGTCTAAGTTTATTATATGTATGCGATTGAGATTATTATTTATTATTATTATTATTACTACTGTTTCTACCAGTTACAGATTTCAGTCCGCAAATGTAAGCCCAAATCCTATTCATACACCCTATTTCGTGCCGCATGGCGATGTACTACTACCGACGATAACTCCTCCACTGTGTTCATTGCCATTGACAGTGATGCTCATGCCTGAATGACAGACTAACAATAGGAAACAACTCTCATCATTAAATTCACTCAGAAAAATAATGAATGAGATGTCAGTGCTTACAAGCACAAGGAAATTATTTTCTTCAATAAATAAACATATTGAAAAATCGTCTCTACATATTCATTGCCTTACAGACATTGATTCATTTTGGATTTTTTAAATGTTTCCACCCCTACCACACATTTTTTGCTTTCTCCCTCTTTCTCGCTGCAAATCAATCATAAAGTAAAGACAAAAAATAATGATATTTTCAAACATTTAAAACTGATAAGCTTTTAGCATCTTTTAAGCAACTTGATCACATGTCTTCTTAATCTATAATTTGATATACTTAGGGGAAGTAGAAATGAATATTTCTAAGTATGAATATTTTATGGTAGTATATGATTACTATTATTATATTATATTTTGTGTAAACAAAGGTATAAGCATGTGTATATATACATCAACACACAAAACAAAAACAAAACAAATAAATAAATAAAAAATAGTAGTAAGAAAAAAAAAATAATAATAACAATAATGTAAAAGAAAAAACAAAGAACACGATGAAATCCTTTGATTGGTTATAGTTTTGCAGTTGTCTTTAGAATATGTTTTGTGCTGTTATAATAATTCTCATTCTTTTTGCATTCCAAGACTTTTGAAGTGCTACATGATGCTAAGTTTTCCTTCTTCTTTTATCAAGCACATGTTTTTGTTTCTTACTCTCTCTCTTCTTTGTCATAACATGAATCCCACTCTTGTCTTTTCTCTCTTCTTTGTCACGGTGTAGGTTCCAATTTTCTTTCTATATTCTTTATTGTCTTAATGTAGATTCCAATTTCTTCCTTCTTCTTTTCCTAATCCTAATCCAGATCCTAGTTTCATCTTCACTTTCTTCTTCATTTTGGTACAAGTTTCAATATCATTTTTTCCTTCTTCTTTATTTCAATGTGGCTCTTTTATCCCTTCTTCTTCATCTTCCTTTCCTTCTTCATTGTCCCAATGCAAGTTCTTGTCTCTTTCTCTTCTTCATTTTCTTAGTAAAGGTCCTAATCTCTTCCTCTCCATCTTTATTGTTATGGTGTGGCTTTCAATTTCTTCTTCTCTCTTGTTTTAATACAAATCCATTTTCCCTCTTTCATTTCTTCTTTGATTTGGCACATCTTCCAATTTCCACATATCTTTCTTCTTTGTCTCATAATAAGTCCTAGTATCATCTTTCTATTCTTCTTTATCTTGATATGGGTCCCAATTCTCTCTTCTTTGTCTTGGTAGGGGTCTTGATACCCTCCTCACATTCTTCTTTATCTTGATGCAGGTCTTAATTTCCTCCTCACCTTCTTCTTTGTTCGGAAAGAGGTCCTAATGCCTTCATTTCCTTCTTCTTTGTCCTTACAAAGTCTCAATTTCATCTTCTCCTTTTTTATCTACATATAGGTTCCAATTTTATCTTTTTTATCTTTCTTCTTTTGGTTCAAATCCCATTTTCTTTCTTTTATTTCTTCATTTATGTGGTGTGGATCCTTCTTTTGTCTTCTCCTTCTTTATTGTCTTATTATGAGTTCTAATTTCTTCTTTCTTATCTTTGTTGTTCCTTCAAGGGTCATAGTCCTTGCATCCCCTTCTTCTATGTCTTGTTGCAAGTTCCAACAATGGTACATGGCTTGGGACTTAAAAAGACTGAAAATCATGCCCAAACAAAAACAAAGAAAAGATGCAATTGAGATAAGGAAGAGTAGAGGGAGATCTGAGACTTGCATCAAGACAAAGTAGAAGAGGAAGATGAGATTGGAACATATATTGGGACAAAGAAGAAGGGATTTGGATTAACCAATTAGAGGCCTTGGATGTATGGATAGTAATTTAGGATGTGCTTGTAGCTTAAGCTGCAGACATATTATATTCATGTGACAACTAATGAATAAAATTAGGCTGATTGAATATTCATTGTAATTTTGAACTATTATTTTGGAATTGTAACATTTTTCTTGTTTAGATAAGTTATTTCTATTCAAAAACAATTGTAATTAACACCAAAGGATGTATCAATATAAAATTATAATATGGAAGATCAATATGAAATTGATTTGCAAATAAAAGTTGTAAATTGGTAGATTAAACAATCATGTGCATACAATTGGACATGCCATTCTTAATATCTTCTATCTATATAAGTTTATGTATCTCACTAAAATTTGGAGAAATTCAAAGGGTTGGATTTCATTTCATAGAAACACATTTTCAATGATAACTTACAATTGAAATATTAAGATTTTTTTAATAAAATGAAAAAAAAAAAAAAAAAAAAAAAAGTTCAAGAAAGCATATCCAATACCATTACAGGTAAATGTCAATCTGAAGCATTTATATCAACCACATATATGATGAGTTGAGATTTCTAAAATGATTGAATCAAAACACAAAAATAAATACATAGATGACCCAGGAAGGCAATTTCTAGAATTCCCACATCAAGCAAGCGCAGTTCCAAACAGTTTATAAAAGTAAAGCAAATCAAAAGTAAAATAATATTCAGAGTATATTGTACCCATTTACCATTATCCACGTCATTTCTAGCCAACAGTCAAATTTATTGTTCCATAGACTTGTGAGCTCTGCACTTCCCCACAAAACCACATTATCAATGCGCGTGCTCATTTACGAGTTCACTCACAAAATTATTTCGAAGCATGTGCCAAAAATGGCATTTATGATGCGCCATGGAAGATAATCACTGAGTCACGGAGTCGGTAAGAGAGCGCGGGAATGAGGGGAGACCACCAACACGGCTCCCCTACCACCACGTCGTCCCTACCACCACGGGAATCCGGTTGAAGTCCCGTGGGGGGGGGACCCGTTGCAATATTTCCGCCTCTTCACCCGTTCCTTAGGGAATGACGGGCCGGGTGGTGGTTACAGACAGATCCCCCCCCCCCAAACCCGTCATCTCCTCCACAACCACAAATTACGCTCATACCAAAAGTAGTTTCCCTCAACTGGTTCTCTCCTACACGCTTGAATAAATAGGCAATATAAGTTTATTCGTGTGAACATATATATATATATATATATATAATAGAGTGGTCTTTGGTACAGAATCCCCAACATTTCACGAGTTGTAGATTTCCATTTCCATGATTTGTGGTGTCTTTATGATTAAAAGCAAAAGCGGGAGGCTATAACTTTCAGAGCTTGTGATTGGTTGAGACGATGAAGTCTTTCCCAATTGGCTGTGTGTTAAGAGCAAAAAACATATGGTAGAATATATATTTTCAAAAACATCATTCAGTATTTCAAAAATTGTTGGTTTTTTTTTTTTTTTTTTTCCTCTTAGTAGGGTTTTAAAAGCAAAGATTATGTTGAAATTGCTAAAAATACCCATAATTTGCTGTAAAAATTGTATATATCCGGCAATATTATATCCTCCTTATTTAGAAGTAGAATACTAAATTAATTAGTGTATTTTATCGCCTCTTCTCACTATATGCAATCTCCAAATACCAAATTTTCTAAGGAAGCAACTTATCCTAATGAAACAAGTTGCTCCATGAACCCACTTGAAATGCCATCGTCATGTAGAGTAGAATTTTGGGTATAATATGTGTTCTCTTCGGGTGAGCATGAAAATATATATATATTCTTATGAAACTCTTCTTACGTATGGTTAAAGAAGATAAGTTTTCATTTTATGTGCAACTGTGTTTATAGGTTCCAAACCAAAAAAAAGGAAAAAAATGAATGAAGAAATTTACAAATGAGAATTTGAATAACAACAGAAGTGATTAATCCTTTCATTGTTTGCATTGTACAAAGGAGAAAGTTTGCTTCTTTGTACCATCATGTGCAACTGCATAATAACAAACTTACCTTCGATAAAGAATTCAAAGGGTGACAATTGTCATCATAGTGTCAATAAGTAAAAGAGTAAAAGTAAAAATAAATCTGGAGCAAAATCAAAATTCTTGGTTATGTTCAAATTATTATCATTAATCACTTAATTATTTAGATATAATTTTTCACAACAAGCAGAACTTGCTAGTATCTCATAAGCTAAATTGTAAGTGAATCAAAAGAGAATAAAATATAGAAAATTGCTAATGCTACACCCCCATATTACTAAAGCCACATCCCACATGGATACACTCCCACTCTCATAGTGCTCTCTCTTGTTGCTCTCCACTTGTGTCTACTCCAGCGCTACCCTTCGACTCTTTACTTATGTCTAGTCCTGCTCTCTCATATCGCTTTCCACTTGTGCAACCACAACATCTTTGGGTGGGGTGAGGGTTTAACAATACAGAGGTGTGGGTTTTGCAATTCCCTCAAATCTATGAATGTTTGGTGAGGTAATCAAACTTGAATCGTGTATGGATGGCAGATTGGCAAGTGACAGTTATTGGCTTGTCCAACTGTGATGATCAGTGATGGAAGACTAACTTTCAGGGAATTGGTTCTTGTTTATCTTGTTGCAACTGCACCAACCAACTAAATGACAATAACATGAAAAAATCACAAACGCCTGGACTCCTTTCGTGTGTCATTCCCTCATATCATCTCAGACTAGTGTACAAACACAGACAGGTGGGTGCTGGATGGTGCGGTGGAGGGCAACCAAATTCACCAACTGTCCATGCTGCAGAGGCATGCAGAGAGTGAGAGAGAGTGAGAGAGAGTGAGACTGCATTCACAAGTAACACCTTGCTCACCTGAAAGTAAAAAGAGAAAAGAAAGAGAAAAAGAAAAAGAGGCCAAGCTTATTGCTTCCAAGCACAAAAAAAAATTCAAAAGAAAACAGAAACTGGAGTAGATTAGCCTCACTGCAAAGAAAAAGAGGCCTCCTCTGACCTAGTCAAGGCTTGTACCCATCTTTTTGCATTCTTCCATGAACCCACTACTCACCAACCCACCTACCATGTGACCCCTGCCACACAGAGAGCTAGTGAGCAACTTAAGCATGCATCACTTGTTTATTCTTAATGCCTACTCCACAGTACAAGATGTGTGGTCCTCCCACAGCCAGACACACTGACACACTTTTTATCATCCATCTTACAGCTTATAAGTCTATCTATCTATCCATCCATCCATCTATCCCTGGGACATGTAGAATGGACCCTGACTTGTGTTGTGTGCCCATGCTTAAATCTTGCCACCCCCTCCCTAGCTTCCCCTTCTTTCAATAGGAGATGTGCTATGGCTTTACAATGGCTTTATAGGGGGGGGGGGTTGAATGTTACACGAAGTGATTTTTGCAAAAGAAAATTAAAAAAAAAATAAAAAATACATCCATATGTTTGAGAATACATATACTTGTTGACCTGGTCCAACAAGTGGTTAGGTATCTTCTTCAAAATCAATCATTCAATTAATAAGTCAATGCTTATGCAAGTTGCATGCATTTTTTTCTGGATTTTTTTCATTTTTATTATTTATTGGAATTTTCTTGACAATATATATTTATTTCAATCCTGAGCTGAGCTAGTATACAAGATCATTGGTGTTTTTCATACTATCACAATGAAGCAAGTTAATTGTTGTAACTTCAGAGGTTTTGGAGATTTACAAATTTACAAGTTCATTTGATTGAATAATACCATTGCAATAAAGCATGTTAGCTATTTTGATAGTTTTTTTTTTTTTTTTTTTTTTTTTTTTTTCTTCAGGCACATCAATATTATTGCAACATACCACTTACAAAATTCTTAAGTTGAAGTTGTTTCATAAAAAAATAAATTGGAGGTTTTGCAATTGCTCTTCTATTCATCTTCCTTGACACATATTTATCCACAACTTTTATAGTTATTCATTATTTGTCACACACCACACTGCTTTAACCTGTAATAAGTATCAAAACCCATTTCCCTTCAAAGAGATTTTTATGTCACAATTAACATTTCAACTTGCTATATTATTATTGCAACATCCATAAGAATATGAGCTTGGTGTTAAATTGATGTAGGTGCCAAGTGTAGCCAAGCTTTGACAAGACAATACATGAGAGTGAAGCCATACTTGTCCCTAAAAGGTCATATTATACAAGCAGCATCTGCTAAACTGACATTGCTCAACTTTTGAAATTGCATATAAGATAGAGTAATGTGATCACCTTCTTGTACACTTGAACTTGAGATCCACAAGACCCTGGGGTCCTACAAAATAATTTAATCCTGCAACTGTAACTGGATTGTTGTTAAGCTATCTGAATATGTTTGTGTGACATGAGTGTCATGTGCACAAAAACACACCACTCTCTTTAGTACAGAAAATTTGGTGGTGATGTTGGTTCTATGAAATGCAGAATGTGAAATACAAAAGGATATTATACTCCGGACAGAAGTGAATAATGTATGAATTGCCGAGGCAAGCAAGTTCTGTTAGGGCGTGGACTTCAAAGCTGTCGGTATGCTTTGCACCCATTAAAGAATTCGATTCATTGCTCGAAGGGTCCACCGCTGTCGGATAATCTTACCGCACCCACACAAATCTAAACAGAAACAAAAAGGAAAGATTGAATGGGATTCGTTTTATTTATTTAATTAATGACTTGGTAAAAGTGATTCAACTTGATCGGCACCGCTTGGGACTTTGATCCATCTTCATCGAAATCAGCAACCGGTGTCACCCCATTGGGCGGGTGTGGGGGTCCCGTTAAAATAAAACATATATATATATATATATATATTTTGCTCCCCTCGGTATTTCTTATAACTAATTTTTTTACCTCCAGGGCATCGTTCGAGAGCGCGTGAGATAATTCGGAATCTGCCAAAGCAAGCGGTGTGTTTTCTGCGCAATCGATGTCCTCTGAAAGGTCCGTGACTTGGCGCCCAGGAAACGTGACGAATCCAGAGTCTTGTGCAGTGTGCAATTCCAATGCATCCAGCAAATTCCCCGTGGGACTTCCATAATTCCTGATGGTGTGACCAACGAACACCGAGTTGGATGGAAGTTTCGCAGTTTTTGGCATTAGCAAGACGAAATCGCAAACCAAGCGTAGAGATTATGGAAACCCAGAGCCACATGATGGGGACCAAAGGCAGAAGTATGCAGAATTGAGAATCGCTGCCATCAAAAAGAGCTAGATTTTTCACCGGCACCGATGCATGGTGTGTGTCAGTGATGGCGACAGAATGATCTCAGGATGCAGTGATCAACGTGTATGTCATAATTTCATACGATAACAGAGCTGTAGAATAACAAGCAATGTGCTGTCTGCGTATCGAACGCCGACTTTAAGGTCGTGGCACCAACAGTGAAGTTGCCCGCGGACATTGCAACGGAGTCATGCCTTACAGACAGTGAACATGGCCACAGTGTTTCCAGGTTCTACCCATAAGTCTAGCCGTGGATTTTCTGAGGCAGTTCCTTGGATGCTTTCGATATATATATCTTTGTAATACTCGCTGGATGAATTTTACCGATTTCTTGCATGGGGGTGATGCTTCTACCACCAGTTTTTTGAATCTCCAAGCCTATAGGCTGAAGGCGCGCAGAAATTTGCTGCTGTCTAATCCGAGGACAAGAACGTCCACAAAATTTTAGCACTAGCCGCAGGGTAAAAAGATTCGATTCTAAGTTAACAGTTTTTTAGTATATCTATTTATATATTGATGATCTGTAACAGTAGACTCTCCGGCGCTCGTCAGATATTCCGGTGATTAGAAAGCAAGGCAAAGATTCCGTGTATCAATTCTGCATGCGACTGTTGGTTTGTTGGGCTTCTATTTATACTAACAGACAAATTTTTTTCGGTAGGACCTAATTATAGATTGTGACAGGTGATGTGTTCTATCGTCTTCAACTGACTTGGTGCGTTGGATAACTTTAGAATAATGGTGAGACCTTCGTGCTTTTGTGGATGCTGTTTCAAAATTTCACCGTCGGTATCGTGGTTCATGTTTTGCGGCTTTTTGTCGATGGAATGCATCGAAGCACGTTGTTTGACAGGCGCGCGGCTGGATGAGGGCACAGTAGCTGAGTGTGCTTCCGATGTCCGCTCATTAAGTTGACCTATTTGTGGCTAGACATCGCGATTCATCCTCGCAAATTGAGTTTAGTGTGGGAGTTGATGGTAGGGTTTCCTGGAGTTCTGGGTTTAATTCTTCCGATTCCCATGCATTTAGTATGTTTCCACAGTTGTTGTTGAGGTAGTTTCTAAGCGTTATTCTCTCCCAATTTGTCACGATTTTTATTGGGTGATGATTTGTGAATGTTTTATATCCGATTAGGTCTGGTAAACTGTTTTGTCTGTTTATTTGCCCAATTGGGATTGCTTGGGTTATCTTGGGATGACGCGAATTAGGTTGTGACTGATAACACGAATTAGGTCGTGATAGACAAAGTGAATTAGGTGTTTGCTGCTACATGCTGGGTGCGACATGTGCTCCGCGAGTATTCTTGGTTGCCCTAGAGTTGGTGAAGTAGATGAGGCTCGCTCATGCATTCGCGTGATGGAATTCCCAGGCTATATGCGGCTAGGTTTACCCAAGATTGTGACATATTTGAACGATTGAAATCATGTACAATTTGGAGATTAATGCTCTGTGTTAACTGAGGAGACGTGTTCAATGAGTTCACAACCGAACTTTGTCAGAATGTATGTATGCACTTTCACGTGAATAATCCTGTGTAGGGTTATTCATGCTTGTGAATTCATCCTGTCGGCAATGGATTAGGTCTTAATGATTTCCTCTTCTCATGATTAGGCTGGATCAGTTGGGGTAGATGTTTCAGTACTCTCCACGGCCTGAGACAATGTGGCTCTTTGTAATTACGGATGGCATGGGTTCTGATGAGCTCTTTGGAAATATGGTCATACAGTTTATCGACGCTCATCACTCTCATTCGCTTTAGGTGTGTTATTTCCGCTTTAGGGTTTTGAAATTGCTGAATGGCATTGCCTTTCTGGACGCAGCATGTTGGGACTGGAAATATTGGTGACGATTTCAAAGGATTAAGCTCTTACTGCTGCAAGTTCCAGCAATGAAGCTGGTAAACATCTTCCTCCGGCCTTGTACTGTTTAGGGTTTTGGAACCGTGCTTGAAGTAGATATCCGAATCAGTTGATATTTGATTGAGCAGCTACACACGGAGCATATCAGCTTGTCATGAATTTACTTAAATTTTTATTTTTCCTTCACAAACCTTTTTTTCGGGGAATTGTATTTTTGTTACAGAAGTATTTGGCAATGTATATTGTACCAGGGAGGAAGGCAATACGGTTTTAGATTTGTGTTGTTGCATTTTGTTAGCGCTTGAATTAAGACTTGCTTAGTTGTTTTGTGATCACCGTTGCACCGGAGGGAAGATTTACCCCTGCATGAATATTTGCCAGTTTTTGATGGATAAGGAAGATCATAACTGTTATATAAACTAGATATTGTCGCCAGGGAATTTGACAAGCTCTTGCATTGTATTGTGAATGCAGACGTCCTTGGGATGTGGGAAGGACCCCAGCAAGGAATCGGAACTTGCGTGCCATCTTTTGAATGTTAATCAATCCTGTATTCTACTGGAGTGCCCCTTGGACCTTTCAGCGTTAGCTCTGTTCCTGCCCACTTTCTTGTCCTCACATGCTGTTCCCCAGGTAGCAGTGAATAAAAAGCGGTGCTCGAAGTTATCAAGGTATGATTCAAATGCGCTCGAGCGATGCAACGTTGAAATCGCTGCAAATTTAGCTGGACGCAAGAGAGTGAAGCATGTTGACGTACACCAGGAGGTGTTGTTGAGACCATCTACATCAACAAAAAAGGTTCATCTCAATTATGAGGATAATGAAGCTGATGATGATGAAAATGTTCAAGAAAGGGGTAGAGTATACAAAGACTTGAGTTCGCTATTCAAAAAATTAAATGGACATGTTTTAGCGGACGGAGAGCCATGGTACAAAGCTGCAGGACTGGAACTTGTGGATGTGGGACTCCTGGATGCAGTCATCATTTCAAACCCTTCTAGTATGCTTGGTCTCCCCTTCCTAACGAAGCACCCTGATTTCTGTGGGAAGGCAAGAATCAATTATCCATTTGTGCTTAATTATATGTCTTTATTGGAGCTTAGTAAGAATTCTACACGTGCTGAAGATTCTGTCTTAATGTGGAGGATTTTGTGGGACGATCTGTAGAAATTTCTCTGTATTATTTTTCTTTGTGTCTAAATGCAATCATTTGTACAGGTGTTCGCCACTAAAGCAACCGCTGAAATTGGTAGAATGATGATGGAGGAGTTGGTAAGTATGCACGCCGATTTTATTCAAGGGCATGGAACCGTGAAAAATGGGCAGAAACCGCCTTGGTTGCACCCCTCCGTCCTTAGCTCATTGCCGGAGAATATGAGGGGTACTTCACTCGACAGATGTTTCTCGAATAGGGCAAATTGGCAGCCGCTGTACAGGTTTGACTGTATTTTTACGCTCTTTCCTTTTGTAGCTTGAAAATTGCACTTCCATGTTGCCACATTGTTTTTTTTTTTTAGCTTTCACGTTAGCATCAGGTTTCAGTCTTATAATCGGCTTACTGATCTTTGATCTTGATCCCTCGTACACTTGTGTCTCTGTTACCTGTGCGCAGTAAAGATGACATCAAAAACTGCTTTGATCATGTTCAAAAAATGAGTTTCGGCGAAGAAATCAATTTTAATGGCGTTTTTAAAATATCGCCCTCGAGCTCTGGGATGGGAATCGGGGCGTCTAACTGGATCATTTCAGGAGCCATACATAGAGTGGGCTACGTTGCTGCGTCACTGGCAATGAAGAACCACGCGATGCCATTGGATATTGCTCCACTGGAAGGATGCCATGCTCTCATTATTTCTGATGTTGAGTGTCCGTCGGATGCTGTCGTGGTCGAGAAAGTCATTTCAAGTGAAGACGACCTTGATGTCAAGGCCCAAGAAACTCAAGATTGTGGAGTTTCAGGAAATGAACACTTAAGGCCAGTGAGACAGTCATCTACTGGTTCGGGAAGCTCACAGAGACCAACTCCAAGGGCTTCTGGGAGTTTCTCATCGGTTGCATCCCGGGGTGGCCTGCCAAGTGGTGGCTCAGGAATTGTGAAATCAGGTGCCGTTGGACTGCTTCCTGGAGGTGGTTCCGAGAAAGCGGGAAAGGGAGTGAATGGAGATGGATTTGGCTCTTTGCACAACGATGTGGTAGTTTTAGATTTGAGACCAGATGTAGCTGCGGCATGCAAATGGACAATTGAGGCCATAAAAAGAGGAGGTTCTGTGCTTTTCCCTATAGGCCCAAGTGGGTTGTTTCTGGAGCTACTTGAGGAGCTGGGAACTCAGCTGGGAGCTGCTAATTTGAAGTGAGTGCCACTGTTAAATTTTCAGACTGGATAATGTTCTCAAGCAATGTTTTTACTCGTATATATTTTAGCCGCACAAAGTAAATACTTTTGCAAACCTTTATTGAACGGTGGTGTTCTGTTGCAGGCATATCCCCATTCACTACATTTCTCCAGCAGCCGAGGAAATGCTGGCCTACTGTAATACTGTTCCTGAGTGGCTGTGCAGTGCCCGACAAGAAAAGGTGTGGTCTAGAACTGGGTTTCTCAAAATGGAATTCCAGTCAAATTTTTCTATGAACACGTATAAGTTTAGTCAATGTTATAAATGTAGGATATCCACTTTTATTCTGTGCTTGCTTTATTGATAGTCTCAATAATTTGTTCAAATGACGTCTTTCGTTTCTGATATTCTAGGCATTATCTGTGTTCTATCATTAGCTCTTAAAATGCAATTTATTCATTGGACTGAACTCTTTTCCATATGATATTGATCCTGCAGCACAGTTGTATGCAGGGGAGTCCTTGTTTGGTTACGTAGAACTCGTGCAGGAGGAACGCTTGCGTCATTCGAAAGCATTCCCTTCTCCAGAATTGCAGTGAGTTTGTCCAATCATCAGCAATTTTTTTAAAAAAGTAGTTTTTATTTTATTTTATTTTATTTTTTTCCCCTTCTTCTCTAAACGTAGAAATCAATCAAGGATGATAAAGCTTGAGCAATAGTGATGCTGATTTATGTATGTTGCGTATATCTGTCTCGGCCGTTTCATCAGCATGGATTATGTTTTTCTTATGTAATTTTTTGACTTGCTTTTTCACCGGCAGAAGAGTATGGCAGGAGCCCTGTGTCGTGTTTGCCACCCACTTTAGTTTGCGAATGGGTCCCGCTGCGCATCTCCTCCATCGTTGGCGTCAGAATCCTCTCTGCCTTCTGATTTTGACTAAGGTTGCCATCTGTTTTTCCAGTCATATTGAAATTTATCGAATTATGTATTGTCACGATCTCTGTCCGGTGAGAACAGAAATACCAACGTCAGCTGGCAACGCCTTTGAACTCGTGATTTTATTATTTCAGTGACGCTGTAATTTGCGGAATCACGCCTTCTCATGAGGCCTTACTGTGGTCCTTTGTCTTTATTTCTCCAATATTTACTTCTCCCATTTTCTTTGTGGTTCTTTTATTTGATAATCCTTATTGCTTTACCTTCCTCTCCTGTTATATGCGAAGTCGAACTCCTTATATAGCTTGATCAATACTTTTGTAATGTGAATCATCTGAATTAGGTATTATGAATTGCAGAAGGAGTCTGATATGGACCTTTTATTGGCCCCATATATGCCCCTTGCAATGCAAGTCCTGGAATTGCCTACTTCTTCACGACTAAGGTACTGCCGGGAATCTTATCCTTAGTCCTTGTTTTCTGTATGAGTTAATGCTAACTTTTGTCTTCCGCATTTACGATGTATTTCAGATCCAAGGAGGTTGCATCGGTGCTGCAGAGCGTTCAGCCACAAGTTGCTCTGGTAAGTTGTAAAGTTCACATGCATATCGTGGCTATTTTACCTCTAAACAACAGTCAGTCTGCTATTGATGGAGCAAAATAAGTTCTTTTACGAGTCGCGATTTAAGATTGGCAATGTCAATGCTGGTTGTGCTTTCGATCTCTATTAACATACTTGAGTTTCCCTCCTACGCCTGTCCCCACACCCTGACATCATCGTGTTACCCTGTTGGTTTGAAGATCACAAGTTTTATTTACTACAGTTTGCAAAATCCTCTCTTCAGGAGCTGGAAATGATCTATAGTAGTATGCTTTTATGACTACAGGTGCCTGAGTTTATACAAAAGTCATTAGAAGGAGCAAGGAGCTCGAATACAAAGGTTATATTGGGCTACAAGAACGGTCGATCAATTCCTGTACCGAACTTTGAGATTGAACTAGAAGTGGACATGTCAGCTGAATTAGCTCTTCTGGTGCAACCGAAACCAGTGAAATCCAAGAACGTTGCTGCTGCTCCTTTTCAAGCAGGGTTCTGTTCTCGGGATGGAATACATTCTCTTCAAATTCCTACTTCATCTAGTAATTTGGTGATGAGTTCGCACGAGTATCATTACCGATGGGGACAAGTGAACGTTGGGGCACTTTCGAGAGCTCTACAGGAAAGAGGCATGTCAGAAGTTTCTTTCCATGAGCTTGACGAATCTCTCACTGGCAGAGAAGGGCCTGTGGGTGAGCATAAACCACTTATGGTGGAAATCCGTTCTCCTTCCAGAGCCTGGATAGAATTGGGTCCAAACAGTAGTCACATCAAAGCAAATGAGCCCTCTTTACGACACCTCATTGCTGATGCTGTCAACAGCGTACTTCACGTGATGTAAATACGTGTAAATTGAACTCATGATCATCGTGAAATGGGAGGTGCTGATCTGTTGGTTTTGTGCTGCGTATTGTGGAGCAGTCACTTGTTTGCCATTGAACATGCTCGTAGTTCTTTTGGTTTAATTGATCAAATGAATGAAAGTGTACTTAGTGCATGTTGCTGTGAATCAATGAAGGAAAAAGTTCTGATCATACCCTTTACAAGCGCCCATTATTAAAGGGATAAAGTGATAGGCCTGGGTTTTCAATTTTTTTGATTGGTTGAAATCAAGAAATCTTCTTCAATTGACTTTATACTTAGAAATTATGTCCAAAAACCTTAAGAGAAAAAAATAAGGTAGAATACACTTTACCTAGCACATGACCTTAATAAGACTTTTGAACCATGGCCTTTTAAAGTAGGCTTTTAGATATAATGTTCTCCTAATTATATACTAAATTACAAGACAACAAAACCAATATATTTTTTTATTACTATTTAATTTATTTAACTTTAGATTTTTAATTAATTTATTAAAGCTCTTATAATAACAAACAAACAAAAATAAAAATATACCAATGACTTGGTATTCAAAGAGTTTAGAATAAATGAAAAATGAATAGAAAATATTTTTGACATAATTACACTTTAATTGTGAATGTTCTATAATAAAAGATAAAAATCATAACTAGCACATTAGGACATTATAGATATTATTTTTAACACTTGATTGATGAAATTATAATAATTTATTAAAATTATAAGATATATATATATACATATATATATATATATATATATATATATATATTTGATATTATATTCCGACTTTATTTTTTCTTCAAAATTAAAATAAAGAGTATTTTTACAAGCATAAAGAATGAAATATAGATGCATATATATATATATATATATATATATATATATATATTATCTATTGTGATTTCATCATCTTATATATATTGAATATGAATTTTTAATTAGAATAAATAGTATACAATATAATTTAAAGCATACTTAATCTTTTCTAAGGTATTAACATATGTGTCACAGATATACACAAATATATTAATAAATACTTATATGATTAAATAGAAGTAAATAAAAGTAAGTTAATTTCATAATACCTTTCAAAAAAACTTCATAGAAGCTTCATGGATGCTGCTTTGACTTTATATGTGTTTATAGTTGATTGATAGATTAGAAACTTGGTCAAAAAATTAACCACATGTAAATAGCTTGTGAAACAAATTAACTATGTGGCGCACATATAAAAAACTTGCCTTGTAAGTTAAGATATGTGTCTTGCAAAGTCAACATGTTATGGAGGTCCTAAAAGACATTACCATGTAGCTCCTAGTTAAGAATATATATGGAGGCAAGAGTGAAGCTTTCTTCACTCTTGTCAAAACCTTTCTAGTCCTTAGTCTTGTTTCAAGACTTTCTAGTCTTCTTGTTTTTTGGTAATAGCTATTTTAGTTCAATATTGTATCATCTTTGAGTAATTTTCAAGTTCCTTTCAATAACATAAGAGTATATTGAGGATTTTCTTTCTTCAAGATTCAAGTTCTTGATAGTTTGATAAGAGTACTAACTTACTGTTTTTTTCTTGTTTTAAAAGTGAGTGGATTACTCTACTTCTATTATTGTATTTTGAAGATTGTGGACTATCCATCTTTAAAAGAAAAATATATGTTGTTATATTTATATTTATTTTTATATTTTTTAATACTGATATTTTTCTTAAAGAGAGTGGATTACCTCTTTTTGTGGAAATTTTCATTTAGTATTAGAGGTTGCAGATTACCCTCCTTTAATTTGACTTTTTGAATTGGTTTGAGTTGCTATGGAAGGAAAGATTATGGATGCTACTCTCAGTGGAAGTGAGAATAGATTTGTAACTATTGCAAATCTTCAAGAGCTTGTCAATACTCTAAGAAAAAAAAACCTCTCGTATTTCCAACGTAAATCATAGAAATACTATACCTACGGTTATGGAAGAAGTTCAGAATTTGTAAAAAGAAGTTTTGTAGTTGAAGGAAGCAAGTAGATTGATCTTGTAACCAAATCCAAAGAGTTTTGCTTCTACAACTATGATGGGGATAAGGATTAGTATGCTTGAGAAGTTTGATGGAACAAGATCAAAATTTTGAGAATTTTTGTAATAAGTCAAGCTCTATCTAATGTTGCATCTCTTCCAATATCCTGATGGATTTACTCAAGTTGGATTCATAGGTGCACTTTTATTAAGAAATGCCATCTTTTGGTTTAAACCCTTAATGGAAAAGGATTTGTGACTCCTTAATGATTTGAATTCATTCCTATAAGTGTTTATGACCACATTTGGAGAAAGTGATCAAAAAAGAGTAGCAAAGACTAAGTTCTTAAATTTATAGCAAGAATCATAGTTAGCCACCATATATGTTGCTGAATTTTAAAATCTAGCTTGTGAAATGGACTAAAATGGCAAAGCCCTTATCAATTAATTTCAATATGAGTTAAAGGATAATATTGAAGATTTGTTACTGAAAATGTTTAAGGCAAAATATTTGGAATATTTTATTACTCAAGCCATTGCATATGACAATCGATTATTTGAAAGACGTCAAAAATAAAGATTTGACTAAAGAGGAACGACTTAAATAATGATGGCAACTCCTAAGTTTTCAAAAACTTATTCATTAAGGCCAAAACCAATGCAAATTGATACGATTTGTTTTAAATCCCTCACATAGTAGAAATAGACTTAACAATGTCAAGAAGGCTTATACTTATGTTATAGCTAAATACACTGCTCAACATTGTCCAAAGAAACAATGCAATCACAAAAAGAGAAGCATGGTTGCCAAAGAAGATAAGGTGTCTAGAAACAAGTTTTTCCAACTATAATAGGGACAGTGTAGCTAGAATCTTGTATAACTCCTAGTAAAGGTTCTATTTTCTTTCAATAGATTCTTAACCTTGTTTTATAATAGAAGTTTATTTAAGACCAAAAAATCACAAAGTCAGCTTTGTTAGATTCATGAGTCTCAGCCTATTTTATAGATAAATTTTTTATCAAAAACCAAGAAATATTGTTAGTAAAAGAAACTAAACCTACACATATAGAAATTATAGATGGTTGTTTGCTATCTTTTGGATATGTTACAGATAAAACTATTCCTTTAGATTTAGCAAATTAAAGATCATAATAGCATAATAATATTTAATATAATAAGATCTCCGTCTAATCTAGTTATGTTAGAATTATCTTGGTTAGAAAAGTATAATCCTCAGATAGATTGGATTGCTTATAATCTTATTTTTTTTTAATAGTTTAATCCAAAATCTCGTTAGTCAAGTAGAAATATATAAGTCTAATACATCCAAATCCTTATTGGAAGGTACGAGAGCTTTTATGCATGTCGCAAAAGAAGGATCTTTTGTTTTATATGCCATGCCCGTTTTTGATAGTGAGAAGACATCAAGTGGTATTTCTAGCTAATATCAAGATTTCTAAGACATTTTTGAAAAAAACATGTATATTCTTCCAAAGCATTGATCTTATGATTGTTCTATTAATCTTCAGGAAGGAACTCAACTACCATTTGGACCAATCTATAGCCTATCACAAAACAATTTGATGCACTTAAGGAGTACATTGATGAAAATTTGGCTAAAAATTTCATATGTTATTCTAAATCTCCAATATGAGCTCCTATCTTATTTATGAAGAAAAAAGACAGATCTCTACAGATGTATATGGACTATCGAGGATTCAACAAGATCACCATCAAAAACATGTATCCTCTACCTTTGATTTTAAGACTTCTTGATCAACTAAATCAAATAAAGATCTATACAAAAATAGGTCTACAAGGAGGATATAATTTGGTACATATTAAAAAAAGAGATAAATAAAAAACTACATTTTGAACCAAGTATGGATATTTTGAGTATAATGTCATGCCTTTTAGACTTACAAATGTACCAGCTACTTTTTAACATCTAATGAATGATATCTTTTGTGAGTTTCTTGATGATTTTGTCATTTGTTATTTGAACAACATCTTAATCTATTCTAAGAATATAAATGAGCATAAAGTTTATATTTATCACGAGTTAAAAAAAATTAAAGATGTAAGATTATATGCAAAGTTAAAAAAGTGTGTATTCCTCATTATTCAAGTTGACTTTCTAAGATACATCATTTCCAATGAAGGGCTAATAATAGATACAAAGAAGGTCCAGATTATCATAGATTGGAAGATTCCAAGAACAATAAGAAATGTGCAATACTTTTTGGACTTTGCCAATTACTATTAGATCTTCATCAAATCTTTTTGTCAAGTTGTAGTTCCACTTATACATTTGACTTGTAAAGAAAAACTTGAGTGAATTAAAGAAGTCGAAGCATTATTTGATGTTTTAAAAAAAAATTACTTATGCACCAATTTTATATTTTGTCGACTTTTTCAAGGCATTGTTCATAGAAACAAATGCATTAGACTTTGCCTTGAATGTAATATTATCACAAATGGGAGCAGATAATAAACTCCATTTAGTAGCTTTTTATTCTAGAATTTTTTTTAGCAATTGAGATTAATTATGAAATCTATAATGAAGAGCTCTTTGCAATTGTGGATTTATTTCAAGAATAGTGTCTTTATGTAGAAGGCGCCTCTAATCTAGTCACCATGTATATAAATCACAAGAATCTTGAGTATTTCATGTCGGCATGTGTTTTAAATCATTACCAAGCTCATTGAAGCTTGTCTTTATTAAGATCACTTATCGATCCAAAAAAACAACAAGATTTGCCAGACACCCTTTCTAAATATTTTTATCTTCCATCAAAAGAAAGAGATATATCTTTTGATTAATAAAAAATAATTCTCTTAAAGTCAAAATATTTTCACCTTCGAGTAAAAAAATCAACATTGACTATTGATTCAATGTTTATGAAGCAAATTCAATCAAGTATGTCTTTTAATCCTTTTATCCTTGATATCAAAAATAATTCTTCTAAGTCTCATGATACTTCCAAGTTCAAGTTCAAGAAAAAATATTCAAGAAATAAATATACATTCCAATAGATGACAAATGATTACATGTTCTTCAAACAAGTCATGACTTTCTAGCAATTGAACATTTTGGATACAATAAGATTTTAGAGCTAATATCAAGAGATTTTTAGTGGCCTCAAATGTAGAAGGCAGTTAAAGACTTTGTACAATCATATGATATTTTTTCAAGATCCAAAACTCCTTATTGTAGGCCTTATGGACTACTTCAGCCATTACCTATTCCAAAACAACTATGATCTTTCGTTTCTATGGATTTTATTTTAGATCTTTTAGTCTCAAGTTTGTATGATTTTATATTAATGGTATTAGATGGTTTTACTAAGATAGTATATTTTGTACTATATACAAAATCTATCACAAATAAAGAAATGGCTAAATTTTTTTTTAACAACATCTATTACTATCTCGGATTGCCTAAAGATATTATATTGGATAAGGGGACTCAATTCATATTAAGATTTTGGAAAATCCTTTCTAAGATTTTAATGGTGGATATAAAGCTTTCTTTGATATTTTATCCTTAAATTCATGAAAAAATAAAATAATTAAATCAAGTGTTAGAGTAGTACTTGAAGTATACTATCAACTATCATCAAAATGATTGAACAATTCTTTTACCATTGGCAAAGTTTGCATATAATAATTCGGTATATTTTTCCACTCAACAAATACCTTTCTTTCCCAATTATGGTTATTATCCACAACTGGATACTTTTGATTTTTCAAAAGTTAATAATCTTACAATGAAAGATTTGGAAAATCATTTACCAAAGTTACATGCAATAGTGAAGGCACACTTAGAGGGAATTCAAGAATATATATATTTTTTTTAATATAGATGCCTATTGTAAAGAACAACTATAATTCAACATATGTGATAAGGTATGGTTACTTTATCGTAATATCAAGACTACTTGTTCTTATGACAAGTTAGACTATCGTAGGCTTATGCCTTTTCCTATTAGTGAACAAGTCAATCTTGTTGCTTATCAATTATATCTACCGGAGTCTATGAAAATCTACCTTGTATTTCACGTATCACTTCTTGAGCCATACAAGATAGTGAATATCTTGGAAAGAAGACAAATGCCACCTCTTCTTATAGAAATAGATAATAATCAAGACTTTGAAGAAGAAGAAGTTTTAGATTCAAGGCGGCACCAAAATAGGTTAGAATATCTTATTCATTGGCATGAATATGATATTAGTGAACACACATGGGAGTCAACAAAGAATCTTGGAAATACAGTAAAGAGAGTTGAAGCTTTTCATTGAGGACATCCATCAAAACCAAAATGAAGAAAAGTAAATCTTTGCTATAAAAAAAATAAGATTAAAGGAAGATAACACTCTACCTTCTATCTTTTTTTGTAACTACTGTGTATTTGTGATGCTAAGGAAATGAAGAATCAACAACCAGTAGATTCAATTCAAGAGCTTTCATTTGTGGACTTATTAGATAAGACGTTATAATTGTCACAACTTTTAAGATGACAAAATCAAAATAAAGTATAATACATTTGAAAAAGGACATATTATCATATGTCACAGATATACATTGATACACTAATAATACTTATATGATTAAATAGAAGTAAATAATTTAAGTTAATTTCATAATACCTTTCAAAAAAAACTTTGTAGAAGCTTCATAGACGCTGCTTTGACTTTATATGTGTTTATAGTTGATTAATAGATTAAAAACTTGGTCAAAAAATTAACCACATGTAAATAGCTTGTGAAACAAGCTAACTATGTGGCGCACATATAAAAAACTTGCCTTGTAAGTTAAGATATGTGTCTTGCAAAGTCAACATGTTTTGGAGGTCCTAGAAGACATCACCACATAGCTCTTAGTTAAGAGTATATATGGAGGCAAGAGTGAAGCTTTCTTCACTCTTATCAAAACCTTTCTAGTCCTTAGTCTTGTTTCAAGACTTTCTAATCTTCTTGTTTTTTGGCAATAGTTATTTTAGTTCAATATTATATCAACTTTGAGTGACTTTCAAGTTCCTTTCAATGACATAAGAGTATATTGAGGATTTTCTTTCTTTGAGATTTAAGTCCTTGACAATATGATACTCTAATTTACATTAGATCTTTCATCTATCTTCTAAATTTTGTATCAATTCAAAGAATTTATAAAGCATATGTAAAGTATGATAAATAATGACTAAAGACCTTAAATATGTATGTCCAATCAACTTATATTCTATACTTAACTATCTTCTATAGGATAGAGATAGTCCTTATTTAGAAGGAACTAATATTGTTTAAGAAGAAGAAATTATATTGTATATGGTTGACTTATAGGAAATCAAAGATCTATAGTGTAAGCAATATAAGAGATGATTATGATGGGATGAAATTCAAGATAAATACCACATGCATACCTTTGATCATTACTTGCAGAATTATATGTTATCTCGAATATTATATCATTGAAAAAAAATGAATTATCCAAGGTCCAAAACCTTTTGCATATAAAGACTAGAATGGAATTTTTTGAGAATAGAATGTAGATTAATATATTTGCAAATACCAAAAAACAAAGCATGTAGAATAGATTTTTATATTTTTAATTTTAATTGTGACATTAAAAAATCAATATATACAACTATCAAAGATACAATTATATTAAAAAAAAATTAATAGCTCGATGTATTTAATGTCTTCCAAAGAACTTTAGACCATACCATAGTAGATTCTTTACCATACCCTGTAAGATGATTGTCTAGTAAGATGCATTATTTCAAATCCTAAACCATAAGTATACTTTGAAATAGTTGACAAATTGAATTTGATTCTAATGACTTGACTTGGAATAGATTGTGCACTTCAAGAGCATACAATGCAAAATGCGGTTAATTTTTTTTAAGAAGCTATATTCCTCCTACATGATTACAAATTTATAAAATGGATTGGAATACTTCCACAAACTTAAAATTTAATTATGAAAAAATATAGGACAAAAACCCTAAACCCTTAACCCGGAATCTGCGTCGGTAGTTTCACTTGTGCTAAGGTTCGGTATCACGCCTAGCGGTGATCTAGAAACTTCATGTGGAGCATTTCGAAGCATGTCTTTCGGTCGGGTGCACGTGGGTCCTAACGTCTGTTGCGGGACACCTGCAATTTGGCACCTTTCCAGCTTCACATCGCACTATTCATGATCATATTGTTGGTCGAAACATAAACACGACAACCGCAAGATGGCTATGAATAGAGAAGCATCTCTGTTGGATCATAGCAAAAATGTTTTGCTGGAAGTGGGTGTGTAAGTCCTTCTGATGTTAAAGTTACTTCTGTAGTAAGGGCTTCCACTTGGCGGTGGCCAGTTCTGCCCAGTTCCCCGCCTTGCGTCATGTAGACAGACCCCTCCTGCAAAGTTCAGCTATCTGTCATTCTGCATGATGCACTAATGTACTACCGTGCTGGTTCACACTTCGGGGAAATCTTTTCAAATCTGGTTAGGTGGGTTTAACCTCTGAGCTTTATTTAACCGCCACCTTTATTAATTGCTGCGGTCATTGCCACAACTGTGGGTCAACTACCGTAAGGTGCAATTCAGTTAGAACAATAGTTAAGCTGAGACTTAAAGAACCACCGCCCCGTTTCTTTAGGAGTTTGGGTTTGTGACATGACATCCGAACCATGATATCTAATCAGAAAAGTTAATAGCTACGTTCAGTTCTAAGAATCTTCTTCTGCGCACCTGTGGCATTAGAACACACATTGTGGAGTTGGCAGATGGGTACACTGTAATCCTTCTCCGGAACATTTTAACAATGTGGGAGTTGACACGGTTTAATCGTGCATGTTGAATCAGCGGTTAATGAGATTCCGGAAATCTCTCTACAATCAATTTGTGGTGGAATTTGCCGCTATTTCATTCACCGTTAAGATGAAGTGAACAACCTGTATTGCCATGCCATCTCTAACCGTTTGTCTTGAACAAAGAATCCTCAGTTCGACTATTACAAACTCTCTTTTGTAACTCACGTACGAGAAAATATAATAAATGTCCCTCAGAGATCTGGGTGCTCGAAAATTTGTGCAGTGAGTGAATCCATTGGGATAGATTTATATTTCACTGGAAAAGTGTTGCCAATGTGGTTGTTTTGTTTTATGTTCAAGTATTTAGTCTTGACTTTCATGCATGCAAGGAATAAGTGGAGTTAACCTTCTAAAAACTTTTTTTTTTTTGTTTTCTTTACTCACTGATACAGATTTTGCATACGATTTTCACAATCAGATTCCACTTTCGCGTGCAATAACATTGTGTACTTAATTTCCCTGTCAAATTCCTGATTCCTCTTGTGTCCCTATTCCAAATTTCCATTCCACGGGAAGTCTATTCCTAGAGGTCAAATTCGACCCCGGCTTCATTCATAGTCCACCGAAAGGGCAAGCACATGCTGGCGATGCTCCTACTCGACACCGGAATGAACTGGCAACTTGATCACTCTGTTAAATTCGCAGGTGAGAATAAATGAAAGCGACGCAGGTCCCCTCACATAGGTGAAGGAAAGCAGCGAAGGTCCAGTCATCGACCCCATCTTCCGCAAAGGTGTGAGATTAAATTGTCACCCAGTGAAATCATCATTTGGAGTTTGCATCAGAAGCCCCTCCCCCCCCTACTCCCCCCTACCCCCACCTCTGGCAACGGCACTGGTATTAACCTCTTTAAGTTGCCGAACCAACAATTGATTGCCACATCTCTTGTTCGCAGAAATTCGAGTACTTGCATTCGATTACCTTTTGTGGGACTTATCAGTCGAATCCTAGAATGCTCATTTCTACCCTATCCTAAAATTTACGGCTAACACGTTTGTTCCAGGCACGGGAATGTGGTGGGGGATGATGCTGACAGTGGCTGGAACTCCTGAAGTGTTACAAGTGTCTTCTGAAGCGGTTCTAATATATAAATCAACGAGGTAACTATTTCGCCGTGCTACTAACTACCATATTTCTGTTCCCCTTGTTGATGTCTTGTACACCACAACACATCCATTGGAAGAGCGCATGCTGTGACGTGTGTGGCTTCGCACGTGTTTCTGAAATTATGAATAAAATTAGCAGAAAATGAAGCTAGTCAACGTTTACACACGAATGTTTGATTTTAGAAAAAAGATGATGTGAGGGCATTGATGAGCTTAAAATAATGGCTTTTCTAAACCTGGGGACTTGTAATAAGAGATGGAAGAGCTCCAAGCTGTTGCTGGTTCAGCGGATGCGGAGCAATAGTCGGTTGCATCTTTCTCTGAAAGTATGGCTATTTCTCCGTTGCACAGCCAGTCGGCTGGTCTGCAGGTGAATAATCCATCACAATGACTCCACGCATTATTATTGTTTTTCTTATCAAAACAAAACACTGTTAGAGTGTCATGATATGGTAATCCTCTGATTTGACTCCCTTCGCAAAGATCTTTGCATGAGTAAATTATGATTGAATACTGAGCACCGTCATGAGGGTTTCTCACTTTCTATTGACATGCTCATGTCTGAATTAGTGATTGATGAAACATCAAACAAGTAAAGATTTATTTTTTAACACAACCCAACTTCTATTACAATATTGATTGTGACATAATGGTCCAAACTTTATTATTTTGAAGGCTTGTCATATCTATGTAGTGCATGATTTCTTGTAAAATTTATTAAGAAAAAATAAAAAATCTATGAAACTTATAGATGTTGTGTTTTTATTTAATGTTTTTTAATCATTAATCATTGAAACACTTCTTTGTTTGTTTAATTAAAACATTGTTTGATATAGATATTTATTCTACTAAAATTAGTAGTTTTATTTTTATAATTATCTTGTTGATAGGTTGTTTCTATTATAACTTATATTCTTAATCTTTCTTATTTATGAGCTATATACATTAAGAAGATCTCTTCTTTTGAGACTCTTAAATACATATGCTTTCTAAATAACATTTTTGTTGTGCTCTTAATTTTTTACTATCTTGTTTCATCATTTCTTTATATTTAATCTTAATTTATTTTTAGTCTTGCACCAATTTACTATTGGTGGAAAAATCATCTTAATTAACAATAATACCTTTATTGTGCAAATTTAAGACAACGGCATCATATGTATATAATTTTTTTCTATTTCTTGGTGATAAAGTATACTTAATTGTCTATTATATAAATTAATTGATATATGCATCTTTTTTTGTTTAAATAATTTAAGAGACGGTTATTTTTTAATTTAATGCTTTGTTTCTATAACAAATAGATAAAAGATAGAAAGATGGTTATAATTAATTAAAAAATATATTTATTTTTATATGACTTAATTGGTTACCACCATTTTTAGTTTCCAATTACTATTAAATTATATTACTACATAAAATCTTTTCTTATTTATTTTAGTTTTGGCTATAGAAGAAAAATTCCTATGGTTTTTAATTACTCTATAATTAAGAAAAAAAATTAAAAACACTTTTCTTTAATAATTTTAATCTTCTTAAAAATCCTAAATTATAGCAATTTTAGATCCTATTAAATCTAAAATCTTAGATCTTTTAATATTCTAAATTCTAAACTTTATAAAATCATAAATTTAAATCTCTATTAAATTATAAATTATAAATTCTATTAAATCATGAATCTAATATTCTATAAAAAATTAGATTTCTAAAACCTATCAAAATCTAAATCCCAAATTCTAAAAATTATATAATAATTCTATTTTAAAAACAAATTCTAATCAATAAATCATATTCATATACAAATTTTAATTGGATATTAAAACAACTTAATTTTTTTCAAAACTATGTCTTTTTAAATCATATATAGATTTTTCAAAATTTACAAGATATTTAATTTATAGATTGAAAGTTATTATATTAAAATTCTCACTTATGTTACTAAGCTTTAAATACTAACTTTGATGAAGAGATATAGTTGTTGTTGTTGTTGTTGTTGTTGTTGTTGTTGTTTTTTTTTTTTTTTTTTTTTTTTTTGATTTTTGATTCTTATTCAAAATCAATGTAAGATTTGGTCATAACATGTTTTTATTAAGATTTTAAATTTTGGCTACATCTAAATTGTAGTTTTGAAACACACAAGAAATTGTAAATTGTCAAATTGTGGTATTTTCTTTTCTTTGCACTATTATGTTATATAAATTCTAGCTTAGAAATGTGGATGTCATATAACATAGCATTATCTGCCATTTCCTGTCAAATGTATGTAATTTGGTTTGATTTAGTGGTATTCTATCTATTTAGTTTTTTTCATTGGTTCATTTTATTAGTGTCAATTAGAATTTAAAGATTTAGGTGAAAAACCTCTTTGACTTGATATTCTTATCAAGTCAAGTCTTGTGATTAATTTTTAGAGAAAAAAAACTTATGTTGTAAGAATTTGCTTGGCTATGGTGATTTAGTAATTTTAATAGAATTCTAGGATTTTATTTTATTTTTTATTTTTTTATTATTCATACTTGCATTCTTAGATTCTCTCTTTGTGGTGTAAGACATAGCTTGATTTAGTTTTTTTATAGATTCATCATCTTTTATCTGAAAAGAATATTCTTTCTTTCAACTTATGATATAAGAGATTGAAATAAAATAAATTAAAATAAAAAAATTTCTTCTATTTTTTATAATATTGTATTTTTTGATTATTGATTTTGGATACTTGTTGTGTTTTGTTGTTTTGTGGTTTGGATATGTCATTAGAGTACTCTTGAAGTAATGAATATTATCGATATAGGAATATTATAGATTTAAATATGCTACATACTTCGCAGGTTGCAATGTTAGATCATTATCCTCTGGCAAAGTAGGTGTGCAAGCTCGTTGCAATATGGCAAGATACTAAAGAAGCTTATGGCACCAAAGATTTATTTTATTTTTATTTTTATTTTTATTTTTTGCATTTGAATTTGATTTATTGATTAACTTTAGATTATATTGTGATGTCGCTTGGATTAAGCAAAAACATTGTTAAGGTGGCATATTAGGTCCTCTAATCCAAGCACTTTAAAATCTTTTTATTTATTTACTTATTTATATTTTTATCCTTTTGTTTATTTTTATTTTTGTATTTTGTACCCTTGTTTTGTGGTGCTTGTTCTTTTTTTTTCGAAAAAAAAAAAGATAAAAAAGATAAAAAAGTAAAAAAAGTAAAAATAAATAAATAAATAAAAAGATTCTAAAGTGCTTGGATTATGGGATCTACTAATTCTAACAAGGTTGCTAGCTTATGGGCTAGCGGCAATCGATACTTCATCAATGGTTAGTGGTCCAACTAGTTAAAGAAGTGATGACGATCTGAGACAATTTATTTAGAAACTTAAAAAGAAAAACAAATTATGTGACATTACATATTTAGTCACTAGATCTCATATTTTTTCTTTATATAGAAGTCACTTCAATTAAAAAGAAATTTGAGAGGATTATATATTATACATGCTTTGATATCATGATAAACAAAAGATCCACATATTTATTATATAAGAAAGAAACATTCATTAAAAAAAGACAAAAAATAACATATTATATTTTTGAGCCTGATGTTGTATTATGTAAAGTCTTGCTTGAAAATATGCAAGGCACCTAGTCGTGGTAGATAAAAGAAAATTGCAACAACAAGTTCTAATAACTTTAATAGAATCATATATAAAATATAATTAAAGCTTAATAAATAGAATCAAATATTGATTAAGTCTAAATAAATTTTAAAATAGATTATAAAAGAAATAAAAAAAATTCTAAGTGAATTTTAATTGAACCTCAAACAAATCTTAGACAAATCCTAGACAAACCTTGGACAAATCTTAATCAAATTCTAGAAAATTTCTAATCAAATCCTAAATAAATTCTAAATCTTAAATAAATCCTATGACACATTAAAACCTTTGTAATTAACAATCAAACTATTGATTTCAACTCAAATTTTTCATATCTTTCAACAAATAACCTAGCAATAAGTATAAATATTTTTAAGACAATCAAACTTATCAAATAAAAGATGAACTCTAAAATCTACTCATATGTTGGCTAGCTTCCTTGTCTAATCTTAATGCCAACCTTTCTAAGTCAAAATTTCTTAATTCTACCATTAAATATCCATCAAAATTCACATATATGTTGAAAATCAAGTCTACTATCTATACACATAAATTTCACTTCAATCTAACTAGCAAATTGCTAAAGATCTTAAAAACCCTTGCTAACCTTCAAAACTCCATGTTTGAGACTTCCAATCCACTTGAATTTCAATTAACTTTAATCTAATCATTCAATCATATTCAAATTTATTATATGCATTAAAAACAACTATAAACACCAACCGAAAAATTTTCATCCATAGATCTACTACCAAACTTATAAAATTCTTTCAAATGTATTATTATTTTTAATTTTAATTTTTTTTATTTCACAAAACTAGATTCATCAAAACAACCTTGACTTTACTAAGCTCTTACAAAGTCATTACAAACTCAAATTACTTAAAATTCTTGCTTAAAAAAATCTTGTGAAGTCTTCTCTCAAATTTTGCTCTTTGATTTGGAAAAGAATCTTGGAGTTGTTGTAAGTATTGAATTTTGTGCCTAGGGATCTGATTTCAATCCTAATTGGCAACTGGTCTTTTTTGGATATCAATTCTTATTTTCTTGATGTAATTTTTGCTAAAATCAATTCCTAACTTCTTTTTACATATTCATATATTCTTTATTTTTCTTATCTACCTTATTTTGCCTTATTATGGCCCCATAAAATAAGCAGAAGCCCCCTTTTCAAAAAGGCATTATTTGTACTTTTAATTTTACTACCTTTTAACTATTATTTATATTTCTTAAATAATTTGCTATAATATTTTTGAAATAAGATCTTCTATAATAAAATATTTTTTTCATACTTTCACCTATTAGCTATCTTATATCACAAAATCAAGCAGATCTTGGTGGTAATATCTTATATGTTCTCACAAGAGAACATAAAGAATAGTGTTAGATGAAGTATGGATATTTATTCCAAAAAAATATAGATAAAGAATGTTATTCTTTAATTAAAAATAAAATTCTACAACTTGTCAAATCTTTAAATATATCTTTTAAAATAAAATTACTTTGATGGTTATTTGACATGTTTTATAGCTTGTAATATATATATATATATATATATAATAGGAATCCATGGCATTGGCCACAAAAAGGTTGCAAAATCTTAATTTGTTGTTGCTAAGTTAAAAATTGGCCACTTTTAAATAAAACATTGATTTAAAAAAATAAAAATAAAAAGAATTTAAGCATAATAATAAAATCATATATGTTTCTTTATTTTAATAAAAAAATAAGATTTTTCATATTCCATGCAAATATTAAATAAAACATCTAAGTTGAAAGAACTTCAAGATAAATTACATTCATGGTGGTAATTTTTGTCTTTATTATTTTTAGGATAAAAAATCTTTATCATATTTAGATAAGTACATTGTGAAAGGAAAATATACAACTAACTATGAGCAAATATGGAGATTCTAATATCTATTCTTACTTTCTATAATAATTATCTTTGAAATTTATTAATGGTTATTGTAAATCATATCTTTATTGGATATTGCCTTTTTTGCAATTTAAAGAAAATCTTTGTAGATGATAGGCATAATGTGATCTTTAGAAGAAAAGCCAATTATCCCTTGTAGTCTCCAAATAAAAGTCTAGTATCTATAATTCAATTAATTAGTTGCATAATGACCAAACATGATTTATTGTAAAATCCTTGACACAAAGCAATATTTTGCAATAACATAATAAAACATTTAATCTTGAGTTCTAAGCTAAATGGTAGAAATAAAAATAGACTTAAGCTTTTCAAATAATTGGTTGGATAATAATTCCCTTATTTAGACCATCTCTCATAATTTCTTCATCTATACTAAAATTAATATATGAAACTCTAAGAATCCTTTGTATATGAGACTGTTGTGATATAATATAGCTAATAGGTGAAAGATCAAAAAAATATTATATTATAAAATATCTTATTTCAAAATATTTTATCAAATTATCTTAGAAATATAGATAATAATCAAAGGATAATAAACTAAAAATGTTAATACTATCTCTTTGCAAAAAAGACTTCTATTTACTTTGTAAGATCATAATTAAAATAAGATAAGATAAATTAAAAAAATAAAAGATATAAGAATATGTATAAAAGATTTAGAAGTTGATTTTAGCAAAAATTACTTCAAAAAACCTAAAATTGATATCCAAAGAGGACTAATTGTAAACCTAGGTCGAAATTAGATCCTAAAGAAGAATATTGTGCACCTATAGTGAGTTCTATGTTCTTTTATAAATCAAAGAGCAAGATCTAGGAGAAGACTTTATGAGGTTTTTTTGATCATTACTTTTGAGTGATTCAAGTTTTTAATGACTTTTTAAGAACTTTGCAAAGTTAAGGTTGTTTTAGATAATTGTGGATTTTGTGAAAAAAAGAAAGGCTCTACAATTTGGGTAATTTCATGAGATTTGAAATAGATCTACAAGTAAAAATTTGTAGAGTTGTATGTATGGTTGTGCTAAATATATTTTGTAAATTTGAGCTTAATTAGATGGTTGGATTGTAGATTATTGAAGATTAAATTCATTAGAATTTCAAAAATTAGATTTTTAGGTTTAATAAGGTCATTCAAAGTTTTGCAAGAATTTGCCAATTAGATTGAGGTGATTTTTATTGAAGCTAATATTTTATTTGATTTCCACCACTTATAAAAAATTTGAGAGTAAGTTAATAGAATAGGATTTATTGATGCTAGAAGATCAATATTAAGATCAAAGATGGAGGTCAACTAATACCTCAGTGGATTATGATGTTTTTTTCTTATTTTGTAAGTTTAATTTTCTTCAAATTTGTTCTGCTTATTATTGAGTAAGAGATTTAAAGGTATATAAAATTTTTAGAAAGATCAATGATTTAGTCAATAGATATTTAAGTTTTAAACTACCTTAAAATTGGTTTGAATTGATTAAGTTTTAATTGGGATTTGTTTAGAAATTGATTAGGATTTGATCAGGATTGATTTAGGATTTAGGATCTAATGAGGGTTGATTTAGGATTTAATATTTCTTTGGAATTCTTTAAGATTTCTTTAGAATTTTGTTAGGATTTCTTTTATATTTATTTTGAATTGCTTAAAGTTTTCTTTTGGATTTTTAAGGATTTTATAAGGAATTTATTAAGATTCTTGTGGATTTCTTTTAATTTTTAAAGATTTTTTTAGGATTTTTTTATTATTTCTTTATGATTTTTTAGAATTTCTTTACAATTTTTTATATTCTATTAGAATTTCTATAAAAATTTAATTGAATTTGATCAATGATTGATTATGTTTATTAGGTTTAATTATATTTTATATATAATTCTATTAGAATTATTAGGAATTATTGTTGCAATTTTCTTTTACCTTCCATAGCTAGGTATCCAATGCCATTTCAAGCAAGATTTCACATTATACAACAATGCTTATTTGATCATCAATATTATAATTTCAAGCAAATAAAATAGATTTATTTATGAAATATTCATCTCCAAGCATCTTATCATCATCAAATTTCAAATAAATAGCTTGAATTAAATTATTTGATGTTGGTCTTACTTTCATATGTTCTAGCAGTATCACAATATTTTTTTAATTTATCTATAATTATTAATTCATTTCTAATTTTTGTATATAAATTATTCTTAAATTTATTAAATATAAATATTATATCATAAAAAGACTTTGAAAAGTAACAGTCTTATATAATCCATACCTTTAAGAACTCTTCAATAAATTATTGATATCATTAGATATACCTTCTACATGCATATTTTTGGTCAACTTACATACTTTAATATTAGACCAAATATTTTATTATTATAAAGAAGCATCAACAATCTCTTATCTTAAGTCTTTAATAATAACATAAAGAATTTACCAAAAATCTCAATTAAAGACTATAATAATTTTGCCAAATAACTTGTTAGTACTATTTATGTCTTAAATTATTCTATTGATTGTCTTAATACAA